GACACGCTCCAGTGAAAGTTTTCGAACTGAACAGCGTCGTCTGTCGGTTCCTGATTTGGCAGATTTGGCCCATACTTCATTAACAAATGGTGTTACCGGAGTTTTAGCCACTGCGAAAGCATTAACTTCCAAGCTTGGTCGAAATCCAAGAACTGGAGAATTACAGGTTATGACTATTTAATCTAAACATCCTTTTCCACTAAGTACTGTTTCTGCTTCTGCCGTAAAATGACTGCCGATAAGTGTAAATGTTTATCCTACCATTGTGGGATAAACATTTACAATAATACGGCATTATAAGGATAAATATAGCACATTTTAAAAATTAATAGTGTTTTTTACTCTCATTTGTACCAGTAATTTATTAAATGCTTAACCAACTATAAATGATGGATAGATAATATTGTTATGGTTCCTAAAACTTTTGGACGATGTTATTGCTTTCATTTGTTGTTAATTTTGACTGTATTCTCTAGTTTACAAACAGATCACTACGGCTTAGTTTACAAACATATTTTAGACGATAAATGAAGGATTAGTTACACCAGTAATACGACGCAAACAGTACATCAAAGATATACATGGAAATAATTCAACAAACGATTGGCGTACTGGGAGTTTGCTCCAAAAACCATCATTGACTCATAAAGAGCTAGCGAAACAAGCTGAGCAGGAAGATATAAGACATGACGGCCGCGACGGTGCAGAACCTATCTTTACCAGAAAGTTAGTCGTTCCAAAAATCTTATTAAAACGGTATAGCTTGCATATTTCCGCAGAATCTGTGACTTGTAAAATAATGCTTGGTACTAATAATTCGCAATATTATTATTTTTTTTTTAATTTCTAAATAAATTTCTAAACACTCTGATGAAACTTAAATTATTATTAATCAAATTTTATAATTTGTTACGTTGACGTGAAGATTAACTCTAGTTTGATGGAGATCTTCCTTTCATCCCTCATTCCAAAAGCTAAACTTTTAAAGAAATGGGTTTGTTTCACCAGATATGAAAATAATTGACCTCATCATGATTGTGTGAGGAGAAAGAAAGAACTCCTTAATTACATAGGTATTTTATTACTCACCATCTTGATCGTCTCTTTTTCGTTTTATTCTGTCTCTTACAATGTTGTCATCCGTAGCCATAGGTTGTTGTTGATCCTCGTTTGCTTGACATATTGCTAAAGTATTACTTATGCTGAACAAACGAGGTTAATGTCTTAGTCCAGTTATATGTGCCAATTATTATTATCATTATTGTTGTTGCCTTGGCCACGAAGTGTTGAAAGATAAATATTTCGTGGATCTGTGTATGTATGTATGCTGTGCGTCGTGTATGTGTTGTGTGTTATTTGTTGATCGCTGCTGGTGTAGGCGACATTTCTGCAACGCTGAACAGGCATTGACTGTGTTCATATTGGAATCGAACCCGTTTATATTTATGCGTGCATATTTCTGCATACTTACTGAGATCTGTCGAATTAGAACCAATTTGAAGGACTTCGTATATTATTTTTTATTTCCCATATTTGGTATTTCTCTCACTTCGCTATCATTTATGTTTCGTCGATTTTCCTGGCCGTGTTGCATTTGTCACAACTTCTTTCTACTTAATTATAAAAAATTCTAATTTTATATTAACTGCTTGATAGTTATGGATGAAAGGATCAAGGAAGAATGCTATGTGCCTTGTAAAATGAAAGCTTAAACTGCAGTTGCGAATTCAAGAAACCTACTGCTATAGAAACAATGATTAATTCATCGTTGTTGAACTGTGGATTAACTAGTGAAAGAGTGAGATTGTAAGAATCAAAGACAGTTTTAATATATTTGCATATTTCACAATTTATTTATTGTCGTTATGATAATGCTACTTTGTTGCTTTCTGTTATAATTAATTTTTTTTTTATTTTTCTCTCTTATTTTGACCACTCATAGAATTTTATGGAAATTTGAAGTGAGGAAGGAAGTATGTTGATCCAAATGTAGATTGCATGAGTAAGAATTGTTTCTGAGAAATAGTCTTTAAACTGAGTCGCTGATCTGTGCACTAAAAAATCCGAATTTTTATAGCTGAATTTCCTCACACTGTGAAGAATTTTTGGGTCATGTGAAGAATTTGCAAGGACTGTTTCAGAGTATCTTTCTGGATTTTATAAATGACCTGAATGAGAACATATTCGTTTCATTTTTCCCTTTCATGCAGAAACCGTGTTCTCCATTTCTTAAATTAGTGACGATGTATTTTTAGCTCTCCGATTTTTGCAGTTTCTTCTTTCTTTCTGTTGTATTTATATGAGGATTAGCAGGAAACGAAATAATGAGAATGAAAATTTAAAATATCTCAGTAGATTGTTCCAAACTTCCATTTCCTAGTCCATAAAGATGGCGAATTCTTCAATTTTCAAATTCTTTGTGAAAATAACATATATATATCCAAGTTATCTCCAGTTCTTTTTTGTCTTTCTCTGTCTAAATTAATTTGAAAAAACAATGCCGCAATTCGAAGCTGTCTTACTTGTGGAGTCATTCATAGACTTCATTTTTTTGACCATTGTTCTGAAATATATCTGATCTTTAATCTTTGTTTTTACTGCTTAATTTCATTGACTGAAAAATCTGCAAACTTCTCTCATATCATTCCATATAATTATGCGTAAATTGAAACCAGAAGAATTAGAAAGAATTGTAGAAAAAAACAGAATTATAGAAGTGGCAATAGTACCATTTCTTTTTTTCTTTATTGTTTATTTTATTTTATTTTATTTTTTTTTGGCTGTTTATATTCAGAATATTTCATATTTTATTCTATATTGCGCCTGACTTTTCTCGGACTTATATCATCTTAATTTTGTGTCCAGTATAAAAAATGATGATTGTTGAAGGGCACGATCACTTCCACGTACCAAAAAATATTGCAAATCTTAACAGCTATGAAAAAAGTTTGGAATTTCGATGCTTGAAATGTTTCTTTAGTGTATTCTTTATAACAATAAAATTATGATATTTATTTCGATAATTCATGAAAAAATATGCGGTTGTTTGTTCACCAACTTTTATTATCATTTTACCTAACTATAACAAATTAATAAATAATCAAACTCGACATAAATTACTTTTATTTCAGCTAAAAACGAATTTATTTATAAAATCAATAAATATAAAAACTACTGGTATAGTTCTACCACGATTCTTTGGCATGCAGTTTGTACTCTATTAGAGATTCGTTCTCTCATTTAACTCGTCATATATTTACTTCCTTGATAAAATTTTTTGTTCAGTACCATTGTCAAACCGTTTTGTTTAATTCAAAAGCGTTCGACACTTGTTATTAACTTTTAAAAATTTTAAAGAAGTAAAAAAGAATCGAAATTCATTTTTCTTGATTGAATATTATCACTAAGTTTCACTGTGTAATAAAAGTAGATATTTCTACTGCATTCTCATGATGTTAGCAATATTACTGTTAGTCACTGTAGTTATAAAATCAGTGCTTAATAAAGAGAGAATTCTCTCGATATTTATTATTTTTATTGCAACTGTTCAATTTTCCTCACTTCAATATGCTTGTTTGAATGATTTTAATTTTAATGGAAGTAGTTTCCTTGATATTTTGATTTCCATGGTAATAGTTCGATTCCTGATCTTACAAGTTCATTTCTGCATGAAAATGAAAATTATACATATGCGAACCAAACAAGTGGATCGGTAAGCGGCACACAAACACTAGTACATTCGTAATTTGGAATGATGTTTGTTGTTTCTGTAATAGTTTCAAACATTGGGTGTATACTGTCCCTTTCATTCAAAATTTTTAATTAAAACATTTCAAAAAAGATATTGCAGTTTTATTTTTATCGCAATTATTATGATTTAAATAGTTTTCTTTAGAAGACGCAATGAATTCTTAAAATGAAACTCAGAACTTCAGTGTCTTCGTTGATCTTCCTGTCGGTTTTGTAACACAGATACAATTTATCTCTTTATTACTAAGCTTCGCATTGGAAGCCTGCATAGATTGGAAATAAATATTTTGTTTTCAGTTAGATTTTAGTGTTTTTACTAAGGTTTTCTGGATAACTTATCTCTTGTCATTTAACAATTAATAATTTTCCCAACAATATTTTCTAAACAATTCCACATTCCTTATGGCAGAGACGGCGTTAATAGATAGTTGAGCGTGTTTTTTTTTAGTTTTGTATATTTGGTGTATGATCATGGAGATCGCATATAATTTGTGTAACAAAAAGGGCATTTACTATAGAATATTGTGGTGAATCTAACTGTAAAAAGCGGTAGATTTGTGTTATTTTTCGGCAAAATTGAAAAATCGAATAAACTAACTATTTGTACTTTTTTTGATACCAAATTATTCAAGCATTAAATTGCAATATTGGCTTTTCTTAAATTATAAAAAAAGTATTGCTTGTCGCTGAAACCATTTAGTACATAGCTTTTTTCTACTTTGTTTTTCATTTGCCTCTAGTTGTTTTTCATACATGTCTCGCTATTCTGAGTGGATTTTTCTTTGACCCAATTACAACTTTCTGTTTTTCTACTTGCGGTCGGACTGATCAGAACAAAATATTTACCAATATAGAGATTTAGTAATGAGACAGTGTTTTTACTACACTAATGTTTTCCTTCTTGTCAATTTGGTTATGTTGATTTGAGATGAATGTTTTCTAATTCACTGAAGGGTTTTGTCCTTTTCACTGTTAAATTTCAATTTCCATCTTTTCCGTTTACTCTTTCCCTGTCTACTTTTCCGTTTTCTTATCATAAATGTTTCAACTGCTAGGTATTTCTGTGTTGTCAAAAGCAAATTTATTTATGTTATTGATGGTGATACTTCGTTTTTTTTTCTGCAGTAATTCAAAAGAGGGTTCTGTTTTGCTTTCTGAATGATTATATATTCCCAGCTTATTAGATTGCTTTCTTATTCTGATCATAAAAAGTTAAAATACAGGCGCAATTGAGTGGTGTCCATTGCGAAATGAAATTCGAGTGTTTGATCGCAGAGAAGAATTGTTACTCCAACACGAAGTACATGTTTTGAAGTTAAAGAAATTATTCTTTTTAACCCAGGAGTAGTTGTTGCAATAACGGTAGGAGGTAGTTTTGGTTTTCTGAGTTCGTTCACATTTCATTCGAACTCATTTGGCTTTTCAAGGCTGTTCCCTCCTTCCGAATTATTGTTGTCATCGCGCGCAGACAATATTAGTTTTGATTTTCCACTCCAAGTTCTGCTTAGTTCCTCGCATCTTTTTCAAGATGGAATTTTTGTCTACTTACGTTTTTATACAAAACTCCGATCTGAACTCCAGTTTATGAAGCCAATAGACTATCTTATAAATTACCGCACTGGATTTTTTGTTGTCGTTTAGCGATTCAAAAATACAGGATTGTTCTTATTGGAATACTCCATTTCTGCTTAAAATGCATATGCATTATTATTACTTTTCTTTTTTTAAAAATTTCATTTTTCTTTCAAATTCTGTTTTGAAATTGATTTTTTAATGAAGTTATGTAATAATTAAATTAAGAGTAGTTTTATCATTAGAAAAAAAACTTAAGCTAACAGTTAATTGGAAATTATCTCTCCTGTATTCCTGGGTAAGATATCTGACAGACTTTAATTTGTATTCTTGGAACTTCTTAATTTCTCGATTAGCATGTATAATATTTCTTGGTTCAAGCATATAGTTTTTTATTGCTTTGAAGTATGTTGAACTTGTTATATTTAGAAATGGATTAATAATTTATTTCCTGTTTTCTGAATGTTCACTCTGATAGTCCCATAGCTATCAAGTTTTGACTCGTAATTGCCTTTGCTTTCTGCAGTTGTCTTTTCTGAAAATACTCATTTTCATTGTCAATTTGTCTTTTAGTTTATCATGAGATTTCTAATATTCCTTCATTTTTTCATTTTGGAAAATTCAATTTCTTTGAATTATGCAAGTTTTTTGATAGGATTTATTTAGTAGTGCTTAAGTGTTTCGATTATTTTTCTTAAAGCAATAAATCATATTGCGCTTGTTAGTTCAGTTATAAAATTTTTTCATGAATTTCAGGTTTCACAGCGAGAGACACTCCAGAGAACGAGTTTTTGCACATACTAGTAGCAACACTGATTCATTATCATCAACTTCTATTCAGACTAATACATGGAGTCCATCCGTTGCTAAACGAGGTAAATGTTAGTTGTGTATAAGTTGTTTCCTTTTCTATTCTTCAATATCCTTTGCTATTTCTACGATTTGCCAATCACACTATTCCTTTGCATACGAATTTGTGGCTTATTATCATTCCATATAAAGAAATTAATCACAAATCATAACAACAGCAATACGTGTTTTATCCTTTCTTTTCTTGAATCAGGAAATACTAATAGATAGACATGATTAAGAGTGAGTCATGCGTTTCTTCAATATTATTCTCTGATTCTTTTCCAGAGGATACAATTAATATTAATGAAATAATTAATATCTGTTCGGAGACGAGGGAGGTGATATAAATATATATATACCATATATGTATTCATCTGTGAGATAAGCTTTTCAACTGAAATAGCTGATAGCAAATTCATTCTCTCTGAAATTAGTTTTGAGAATTACAGAATATCTTAATTGTAATTGACTAGCAAAGCCAGCAAAAAAAGTATAAAATACTTCGCAATCATGATTTACTGTTATGAGTCTTTGAATTTTATAATACTTTTAATTAAATGTGCCAATTATTTTCGGAAGGCTTAGTATTGGGAGTAGATTAGTACTTATTCTCTTTCTCTGTCTTAATTTTCACACTGAATTATCCATTTTTTTCACTGAATTTTATTCGGAAACCGGAAACCTTCAAGAATATTTTCAGGGTCTTCCTTTGTTTACAATGTTTCTTCACCATCTATTGGCAACACAACTAATGAGCGTTTTACTTGTACTGGAAGTAATTTCGCTAAAGAACAAACGGCTGTTTGGTCAGCTGTGAATAGTGAATTGAAAAGTCGTCAAAAAATTGCAAAGGTTTGGCTTTACTTACATAATACGTAACACATATTGTAGCAGAGAAACCATTCATTCGAACTCCATATTTTTTCAGATGTATCCGATCTGGTAGAATAGATCACCCGCCATATAGGAATCTTTTTTTATTTTCTTATGTTCTTTCCCTGATAAGATGTAATATATTTGGTACCGTGAAGTATACCTTCTATGTTTTCTTATTTGTTTATCATTCCCTCCTACCCGATACTTGCGGTACAGTAGTAATAGTTTTGCTACTATCTACATTGTTGTTGATACCGTTTCCAGGAATATTGACAAATTATTAATTATTGCAATAGTTTTTTCACCAATGAAAAGTACATTTCCACTTGGTAGCTTCATGTTCAGTCCATCCATTTCAATAATTATATAGTCATTCCTTTTTTCATTTCAATTACACAGTCATTCTGCTATTCACTCATTCATCCCTTCCGTTAAATCTTTTCCATTTTAAAAACAAAACAAAAACAAATTTTTATCTCTTTACTTTTTACTATAGTGGGGAAAAGTGAATTGGCTAGTGGCTAGCTAATATTATGTCAAAAAAGTAAATCATTTTTGGACTTCTCCAATATTCTTTTTTTACAGGTCCGACCAACTCCACAAATACCTTTGCTAAAGAAAAGTTTAACTGCGGTGGCGGTTGGAAGTTCGTTGCAGAATAAACTGCCTCTTCGTGGAATGACTACTGGAAATGGCAATCAAGGTTGTTAAAAGTTTATTAATCATTTTAAATTTGTTGAGATTCTTTAGCAATTATGAAATTTGTTTGAAGAAAAAGAATTTGAAAAACCATATTTTCAGCGTTATCAAAAGTTTTTCATTCTCAGTCGTCATTTGAAGGTTCTGTTCATTTACGACAAAATTTCGATGGCACACCTATTTATAGTGATAATAATTTCGGAAAGTTAACATCTGAATATGCTCATTTACCCGAATCCGCTGATACATTATTAAAATCAGATTTAATTGGTTAGGTTTTAATTATATTGAAACTTTGGGCTTTGTGGTTAAATTTTTTGATAGCCGAATTTTGATAATGCTTTAAGTACTACATAGCACTAATTCGTGTTACAAGTTTAACGTGAAATCATTAGCTGTAATGTTGAAAACCCAAATTAATTATAAAAATTTCGTGTTATAAATTAGCTGCTTTATTGTAAAAGTTTGAACTCTGAATATCGTTCTGTAACTCAGTGAATAAACGAATTCCTTCATGAAGATATCAGTCTCTAGTTGGAAGAAAATTCTTATTTAAATGTGACAGTCAAGATTTATCAATTTTGTAGTGAAAACGAGGACTTCAAGTCAAGATCAAAATGGAAAAGATGATGATAATGTTAGTGTCGCTGGTACAGTCTTCAACGAACCGTGGGATTCTAATGTTTGGGAAAATTTGTTAGATTTGGCACATTATGGAGATGAGAAACCATCCACTCTTACACGGCACATCGACACGAATCAAGCTGTCTTTGGTTAATTTTTATTATATTATAAATTTCTGCTTGAAATTTGTGAAGGTAGCCAATATTTGAGGAATTTTTTAAAGGTGGAAGCTCGAATATGAAAAAAATTCAACGACCATAGTCTTGTTTTTATGCTTTTCGAAACAATAATATAAGGATAGTGCATGCTTGACATAACTAACTATACTGTCGCATCATTCGTTATTCGTTGCTAAAGTAAAGTTCTGGGTTAGTATAACATAGATGAACTGGCCAGTAATATTTTTTAGCTTGTTTACTTTGAATTTGTCTTATCTTATTATGACATTAATAATTTTGTTTTTGCTTAGGCGGAGCGATTGCTGAAGAAGTCGATGATGAGGTGATTTGTTCTCTGGAAATGAGTTATAATGGTGAAGAGGAAAGAAGTTTTCAAAAATTACAGTCTATCACTAATATAGATGATAGTCGAAGTACGACTTATTTATTTTATCCGTTTGGAAACACTCTTGATTCATTCTAAGTTAAAGAGAATTTCTTAGATTAAACTAAAAGGTCTCTGATTGATATTTCCGAATTTACGAACATTGGTTTGTCTTGCTATTTAGATAAACTTTCTATCATTTAAATTGTTTTTGATCTTTGTTTACATTTGCAAATTTTCTGTGATAATTCAAGATAACGCCGACTACGGTGTAGTGATTCGGAGGTTCGATAATCATCACCTAAATAATAATGCAGAGTCAGATGGTCGACGTAATGGTATTATAAACATTAATGCTTATTTGAAAAGTGAAGATAATTTGGATAAGCAGCAACAACTGGAAACAATATGGTTGGTTACTTCTTTTTAGGTAGAATTTCTAACTTCACAATTTTCTGTAACTTATTTCATATTTACTCGATCCCATTTAATTTAGTGGGATTATTCATTCAGATTCTCGCATTTGTTTCTTTGATTTCAGTAAGTCAGTCACAAGTGGTAGCGGAGATCCGGAAGCATCAAATTCATTTATGAACATAAGTAATGCTGGAGAAATGTCTGACGGAACAGCTACCATGGATAGTCATAAGTCAACAAACACACATTCAGTACGTTTTCTTGCTATTTTTGGCTAATCACTAGATTAATTACAACACTTTTATGTCTGAACTATAATTTTCTATTTTTTTGTTTTATTCTCGTATATGAAATATCTATGCTTTTCTATGTTCTTATACTCCTATGCTGTTTCTATGTTTAGCTGCCGCGTATCCTTCCACGATATTCAAAGCTTGATGATTCGTGGCTTGAGTCTCTGGATGACATACCAACAAGCATTCGCGCACTATCACCCATTATTTCACCTCCAAGGTTGAAAAATAGTTTGAGTACAGATCCGAGTACAAAAATTCAGGAATACGTTGAAAGGTTTTTTCTTTCAATTCGTATGTTGTTTGTTAAATTATCGGAAATTATATCCTTATTTTGACTCATAACTATAACTTGTTGTTACAGGCTATCACAGGAGGAAAACACAGTGTTCGGCGCTACACTACGACGCTTTATTGAATGTACATTTGAAGCAGAAGAGTGCGATCCACAAGTATTTTTTCACTCTTTTCTAAGTTAGCAGTAATGACCAAATAATTTTTGGATTTAGGCCAGTTTTAGGTAAACAAATGTTGGTGACAAGTGGAAACCATGTTTAGGTTTTAATTAGTATTATTCAGAAGTGCACTTTAAAAATTACTGCGAAAATTTCAGATCATTTAGGAAATTCAAATGGATTCTTATCTTAAAAAATATGAAAGAGAGTTGTTTTGGAACACCATTTTAGGTGGTAATTCGAAATGTCCGACAGTTTTTAAATGGTTTAAAGAATTATCTGGTGAAGCATGGAGAGGGCGAACTTCATGATTTAATCGAAAAAGAACGCGCGCGGTTGAATGCTAACGAGTTTTTGAATATTGATGCAATTTTAGAAGCCATTTTGCACAAAATTGTTCTTTGCAAGTTTTTCTTTAACGTAATGTATTTTTAGTTTAGCAGTGTAATCTTTTACTATATAGTTCCTGATTTACTTACACGGGACCTGAAAAAAATTTTTTTTCTACTAAAATGAAATTAAAAGGCAAGATTCTGAAAAAGCTTTTTGTCTTTTTGAAAAAAGTTGGTTAAAACGATAAAATTTAGGCCCTGTAAAACCGCATCTTTATCACTTGATGATACGCGAATATTCAAAAAATGGTTGGCTTCAAGCACTTTCTGAAAATCTTACCTATGTCCGAACTTTGTCGCCAGAGCAGTTAGGCTTTGGAGTCCGCTGTAAAGTATGTTTCTCCTGTATGATGTTGAATTAATGTTGTTAGAATAGATTCTGCTAGAAAGGAATCTGAATTTGGGATTATTGAAATAAACTCGTTTTTGACTATGTGCAATCTTGACTGTAATGATTTTAGTTCATACCTCCTACAACTCAGAAAATGGAAACAATTAAAATTTGCTTGCGAAAAATGCAACATCATTATTCACCGCTGAAGAAACTGGAAAACTTACTGCGAGTGATATTTTTGGCAATTGGCAGGCAGCAGTCGTGCGACAATCCGAGCGGTGGTGATATGGAAAATTACGACCCGATTAGTATTGAAAGCAGCAAGATTAAAGTCTTACCTCCTGCTGATGGTTAGTACTAATAAAAATAGTTGATTGTATTTATAAGTTAGCATTCTGTTTCAGTAATGATTACAGGAGTGGGTATGCAATAAAGTACAAATGTTTAACCTCGTTACAGAAGCTTTTCCAGTTTCATTAGATGGCTCATTAATTGACCATTATTTGTGAAATCTTGATAGCTTACTTTTGAAATGATGTTAGTTTCAGTTGTTAGATAAAATTCGAAAGTTTGATTAAAAATCACTTAAACTGTAAAACAAATTAAATTTAGAATTGGTGCGATGGTTAGTGTATCTATTAGCACGTACATCTACGGTCGGTTGTGAAGTTGAAGCGTGGTATATGTGGGAGCTCCTTCCAAAACAATTGCTGACTACTGGTGATTCCAGTTACTACCTCATTACTCTTTTTTCCGCCATTGATGTATTGAAAAATACTGAAAGCATTCGAAAGTTAGGTCAAGTGGATGATTCTTCAATAACGGTAACTTAATTCTTTTCTCTGCTTCGATTTAAGCTTTTTAAAAGGCCTTGCATCTTGCGGATTATTGGCTCTCCAAAATGTTTGAATAGTCTAGAAATTATTTGATAAAATTTCGGACCATCTCCATTGCTTCTTAATACACTATTTTTGTCATTAAACTCCACGTAAAAGTATCAACAAACAGTGAAGTCTCTACTCCGTTCTTGATTGGCCGTTTTATCTTTGATTAATTCATTGTATAATCATCTCGTATTTAAGTAGTGATTCATCAAGATATAAGCAAGTAATGCTGCGTAAAAGAATCTATGACATCTGATTTGCTGTCTTTAATGATTCCTTTTTTGTTTAGGAAGATGGATCATACTGTTCTTCACTAGGTAGTGTTAGTCCAGTGCTTTCATCATCGTCAGATGCTTTTGTAAAGGTAGCCGTGCCGGATGAACTGGATGGTTCTATCAGATACCACACATTTCCTGGTGTACCACAAATGACAGCTGGGAAGCTATGTCGCGTTATTGCACATCAATTTGGCATTACAAATCCTGAAGATCATGGACTGTATGTTCTTTTTATTTCTTTTGATTATTTTTTACTAGAGTAATTGTATTTATAAATAAGGTATTATGTATTACAAAAATCTTTCCTTCTGCTCGACTGAAGATTGAAGATACATTTCAAAAAGTATATTTCCTATGGAACTTCTTTGAGATATCTTGAAACTTGTTAGGATCTTGGTACTCTGTGCAATGTTTGATTGTAAGCTCAGCGACCAGTACTTTTCTGGTTGAAATGTTTTATTTCAGATATCTGCTAGTTGATGGTTACGAAACATGTCTTTTGGCAAATGAATGTCCTGATTTAATTCGCCATCAGTTGAAGCAAGCACATAAGGCGCATTTATTTGCTTATAAACGGCATGAAGCGAAAATAGCTTGGCCTAAATTTGCAGTGTCTTCTCTTTCCTGACATGACCCGGATAATATTGTTCCATTGCGGCAAAAAATATATACATTTTGGAAAACGCGGGAGAGCTATCTTTAAGAAAAAAATAACCGAACTTCTGCCTTAGAAATCATATCAGTCTAGAATTTTTGTCTTTTCATGACAACAAAGGTAGTTATGATGTTGCTGATTATTTTGTCACAAATCTCGTCAAACATTCCATTAATTTTTAGTTAGGTTTAATTAGATTGTAATGATTTAGATTTCATTTGTTTTTGCTCAAGGATTGCGTTTTGCAATTGTTTTAGGATTGTCGTTTTAATATAAAAATGGTAACTATTCAATAAGCTTTAAAAAAGTCCATGTGAAATTAGATAACCGAACTTAAAAATTGTTCTTAAATTCACTAAGCTCCGAAATTCATAAGCAGCATGTAGAAAGCAGCTTTAAAACTGTAAATTAAAATCATTCACCTTGAAGAATTATCATAATAAGATAATTTATAGCAAAATTTCGCTCCTGAAGTCCTAATATTTTTATGATATTTAAAACGAGAATTCTTGTCATTTTTCTTTTGTTTCAAAAGATTTTTGGTCCATTATATTTTCTGTATATTTTGGCAGCAATTACTGTGTTAACTTTGTGGACATTTTATTTAAGAAAAAGAACACTCTAAATATATTGTTGCATATTGTTTTTCAATTAACTTTAAATGTATTGTTGCATATTTACTTTAAAATAATAGAGGAAATCTCAACTGCTGATACAGTGACATTAGGTTATGACAGTAACAACGGTCAACATCTGAATCATGAAATTTGATTGTTTTTTTAAATTTATTATGTGTAAGCGAATGGCTAAGCCAAGCTAAGACTTCATATCACTGAACTCTATGCTAAAGTTTGCTGGTTGTTGAGTTGTCCCACTTGCTAGGTTTTCAAAGATAACGAATTTTTGTCTAAAAATGGAATTTTAGCGTGAATGTAGTAACAGGATTTTGTCATATATCTGGCATTTCATAAGTTTTTTTATCTTCATCATGGAAAGAATCTCATTATTCCATTGTGTACTACTTTTTTCTTTGAAAATGTCTCTTCATTGTACTCATGTTGTTCATATTTTAGCTTTAGAAGAGAGGAAAGAATTGTTTGGTAAATAAGGAATAAAATTATTTCTTGAATGTATGTTGTGTTCTGTTGTAGAATCTATTCATATGTTTAGACATTGCGAGTTACTAACTTTTAAAACTGGAAATATTTTTGTTTATAAATGTAGGACAGAGGCAAATTGATTCGTCCAAAATATGAAGTGCTTGGGTGAAGATTATAGGATATCGTAATTTTATTGTTCACATTGAATTCAGCATAAGGGAAGAGCGTGGTACTGATTTGGGGAATGTTAGAATAGGTAAGAAAGTTATCTTTGGGACAGTACGGATTTATTAAGTTGTGATTGTCCCGAAAGAATAGAAGATAATTTAAAAATATTCAAGGGAATCCTAGTTCTCAAACAACTATCTACAGTAAATACCTTCAATAAAGACATCAGCATGCTCACGTCTAAAGCAGTCAGTCAAAGCTGACATTTGAACGTAGGTTGTCACATGTCCTCTCATAAATGCACATCGCCAACAACAAAGAGGGACCGACCATAGTCTGCATGTCACTGGGTGGTGTGTTGTGTAAAATACTCGAAGCGAAACGAAAACATCTCGTTCCATACACAAAATGAAATGTTGATATAGCTAAAAGGATGAAGTCCACTAGGAAATGGCCTAGAAAATGTTATGGCTTCATTTTTCATTTTGAAGGGATTTGATGATTGTGTCGCGACAAGTAATTCGATCAGTGGTAAGAAAAAGTTTTAATCGATTGTGTTCGGCTAACATTGTTGCACTACCCTCCGGTTCTACCAAAGAGGTAATATTGTAGTATTTTATGCTACTCCAAAATATTAAAATGCTTAGCATTGTCCAGCGCAACATCAGTTTCATTAAAATCCCAGACTATGCTTAAGCCAAATTCAAAATTATCCACAGATTCGCAGTGCTTCGCGAAGATCACGATCGAGTTATTCCTTATAATTTCTCGATCCATTTTTCCAGTGCCTATGAATGATTGTTTATATGTGTTTCTTTCAGGCATTAAAAGAATTACGAAGAAAAACTGGATACAGCTATGTAAATTGCCGCAAAGCACTGAATGAATTTGGACCAGATAATCTGGATGAGGCTATCAAATGGTTGAAAAAAAGGGCTATAGAAGAGGGCTGGGAGAAAGCTGCAAAGTAATTGTTAGTGATCTTGTATATGTGTGTGTGTTTCGAGTAGTTTTTGTAGTTTGATACGTCAGAAATTTGTGTTCTTTTCCAGACTTGGTGATAGACCAACAAGACAAGGTATTGTATCAGTGATAACAAAGGGCAATAAAGCAGCTATCGTTGAATTGAACTGTGAGACGGATTTCGTCTCTAGAAATGAGGATTTTAAACGATTGGTGGAATCTATTATTTTATACAATTTTGTAGTGAATCACTTTACTAAAAATCCTTATGGAAATTTAAAGATCGGTATTGCAAGCCATTTTTTTTCATGGCGAAGTTTCTCATTTTGAAATCACCACTTTTACTGTTGTTGCTTTATGTTTACGGGATTATTGATATGTTTATGGTTTTCAGCTATTTTTAAGAAACAGTTTTTAGGTTGAAGATGTGACTAAAGCGGTTTTGCATGCTGCTGACCGGGATGGAACGAGTACTCATGGTTTTGAGTTATTGAATTCAAGTTAATAACAGTTCTTAGTCACGAATAATTAATATTATCTTTTCTTTTGTTTAAAGAGTTATGTGCGATTGTTGTGTTCTTTCGATTGATAACTCATGAGAATATTGTTTACTTGTAGTTGATCCGTTAGCTATTACTTTAAAATTTTGCTGTGTTTCTGTTGTATTTATTTAAAATTTTGCGTTACATTTTGCTAGATTTGGAAATTTAAGCTAAATTTTCATAAGATTTTCTGTTCATGCTTTTTGAGTACTTATTAAATGCTTTCATTCTTTATAGAATCATAATTTTACTGCTGATTTTCTTACAAAACTTATTGCAGATATTAATTCTCTTAAAACATCAGAAAATGGTATGCTAGTGAAAGATTTGATTACTGAAGCAATCGGTAGACTTGGTGAGAATATAATCCTTTCAAGAGCGCAGCTAATATTGGCACCACCTAATGTTCAACTTTTTGGCTATGCACATCCCAAAGGTTTGATCTTTTTTTCTGACTTTATTAAAACATCACGAACATATTGATTAGTAAACGGTTTTTTATTAAGAAGGTACCGACAGAGTGTACATGGGAAGATATGTATCGGTTGTTGGTCTGAAAGGATCGAACAAAACTGATTTCCCAACAGAAAAGCTGGGATTTCAATTATGTCAACACGTTGTAGGGATGAGGTAAATCATTTTATTACCATCACGATTGAAATTACACCGTATCATGTCCATAAAATTGTTGTATGAATACGAACACTAATGCTGATTTCGAGTTTGAACATTGGAATCTGAACTCTAGCTTAATTTAAATATAGTAGGTTTTTGCTTCTCTTTACTATCATGCTTTTCAGGAGCAAGTTGTTCGGTTACTAATATTATTTTTGTAGGAAATTTTATGATTGCAAATATATTCCAGATCTTTAACACTGGGTACACCGTTGCCTGTAAAGAAAATATCTGTAAAAGATGAGGTATCTCAGGATGACGAAATCAACGCATTTTATAACGGAGAGGTTGGTTGGTGATGAGGATCTGACTTTGTAACTTAAGAAAAACTGAGGAATGATGGGGAATTAATTGAATGAGTTTTAAAATTTTTGCTCGTATGTTTTGGATTTCAAAAACAGCTAATTTGATTAAAAAACTTGTTTATAGTTCCATTTATTTGTTGTTACTGAATTTAGGCGGCTGCACTGTTGAGACAGCATGAAATTTACATATTTATAATTTTTAAATAAAAAGTACTCAAAGCATAAATCTAAATATGAAGCAGTACCGATGACCGAAATTTATGGTAATAGGCAAAAAAGTGAACAAAATAAAAATCATGTACAAGTTAATTTAATGAAGTGGTTTTTTGTCGATGTTTTATAGCTGCAAATTTATTGTGATTTTTTTTTCATCCCAGGTTACGCATATCGATGAAAATGAAACTCAGCTATTAAGGCAGTCGTTCATGTTGAATCCTTCACAAACAGTTCATGAATACGTTACTGGCCATGGAGCGAGTATTGTTGATTTTTATCGCACTGAATTAAGTAGTAATGTGAACGAAGAGTCTTTTCAAAACTAATCTTTCTATTTTTTGATTTTTGCAGTCTGAAAAATTATCGTATATCCACAAAATTTTTTCGTCTCAAGCAGTTTCAGCTTCATAATTTAAGATGTACTGTTTTAAATTTTATTAATCAACCGAACGCTTCAGTCATAGAATAAATGACGTGTCTTTTGGAATAAAAACGTTTGTTGCATATGTCATATACTAGTATTTTGCATGCTGCATTGATTACATATTCTTTTGTTTCGCGCAATGCAACAATAAAAAATTTTTGAAAATATACGTTCTTTTTGCAGCTGCACTGCAATATCTTTTTATTGCAACTTATTCAAGCTCTGTAGCGATTTATTTGTCTCATCAAGAAAATATGTGGAAACTTTGTTTTATTTGAGAAAAAAAATGTGTGGAATTTGTTTGTACATTGTGCTTATCATACATACATGAAGGAAAAGAATTTGTGGCACGGAGTAGTGCGCAGTTAGTAAAAGAGTCGGTTGTGGACACTAAAATCAGGCTATTTTTTACCGTTAACTGGTCCCTAAATTTAATTTTCTCGAGACACTCATGATGGAAAACAAAATTGATATAAAAAAAAAATCTTTATAAACATGCTGATCTCTTTCTTCCGTTTTGGTGGCTTCAGTGTTTCACTATTCAGCTTTTTTCAATTTTCAAGGATTAAACGATATAATTTTTTGAAGTACTTGATAAAGGATATAAAAAAAATTGATGGTTAGGAAATCATGGTTAAAGTTTTATTTAAGCGCTTTAGTGCTTCTACAATCATTTTTTTTTAATCTTTTCAAAACTTTCAAAGGATATATTTCCAGTAGAATTGTTATTAAAATGTTTCGTTTAGAAGAAAAGGTTGCATTCTTCTGCATGAACTGAAGAATGAAAGTAACTAAAATATGCAGCTGTTACTACTATCTCATTCTTCCTTTGCGAACGTCTTTCATCGTTTTCCAGACTGTAAGACTAAGTTTATTTGTCATTAAGTCTTTACTTAATTAGAATTAGAGTTGCAACTGTTATTGACATTAGGAAAAATTGTTATTCAGTTAACTGCAATGTATTACTCAAACATTTCTCCTACTTCTATTATGTTTAATTTATTTGCTTCGTTAATGGAATGACTGTTTACGAATTCATTGAATTGCATCTGCTCAGCTGACACTACATCTCTTCGAACTTAATTGTTCACTTTTATTTGATGATATCTATTGTCTTCCTTTGTTAATATCTTCCTTCCTTTTTGCATTCAAAGCAATGCAACTTGAGAAGAGAAAAATTAAAAATTACCAAGTTATTAAAGTAATTGATGAACAAATCATCTCAAAAGTAGCAATGACTGGACGGACCATTTTCTTGTATTTCTATAAGCACAGATTGGTTGGGTTAAATGAAGTTTTTTAATTACCGGTTTTCTGAGCAGAAGAAATTTAATACCGGTTTTCTGAGTAAGAATACTACTAATAATAGTTTTTTCCGCAAGTATGAAAAAAGCGTGAAATTATAGTTGAAAAAATGTCGGATCGTGATTATTTTAGTTGGAGTTATTATTGATTTCATTTCTAAGTATTCTTCGCATTAGCAGCTTATCGATATTGTTAATTCTTCCTGCCAATATACTAAATATCTTGTTTTTTTTTCCCCAAAAACCGATGAAAAACGCTAATATAAATTAAATTCAAAATTTTCAAATTCATAATGACAAACTTTGTAATTACTTAATAGGGTTATAATATTTAATACACAGAAATTTTCAATGTACTGCTTTGTCTCAGAGCAATACCTTCAAATGGAGTGGTCTATAACTGGCAATACAATTGTTCATCAGATGGCACATCCGGGTGTCCAAAAATACCTGGAGGCTAAGACTACATCCAAACTCATTCAGCATTCCATTTACTGTCGAGACAGTCTGAATTAGATGAAATATTCAGGTAACAAGAATGGCAATTATTACCATACTACTAAACTATTTCAACTACTTTCTGTCATACTTTACGCAACAATGCTCATAATGTTGCATACTGCTTATCACCCCTTATCTTATTACCTATCATTCAAACTTATCAATATGAATCTTAACTTAAGTTATTAATCTGGTTTGTTGTTGATTTAATTCAAAAGAATATAAATTTTATCTTATTATTGTCATCATACACTCTGTCTTTCTCTTTTTAATAAGTAGTGTATCTTTTATGGTACTTTTTTTCCTATTTGTGAGACATCTCTAATATTAGAGTGTCCATTGGATCCATTGGAATGTGTTTACATTTCTGTTTAGTTTTTTTCTTCTTTTTTTGATTCTGTAAGAAATCAGAACTTTATTATGTACTGGTTATTGTCACTTCCAATGAATTCGAATGTCATTTTTATTTTTGACCTCTCTGACTTTTTGCAATGTCAACATTAAGAATCTAAGTTTAAATTTTGATATTAAATATTAATGCTAGAAACGACCGTTCCAGCGTTTCATTCAGTATGATAGAAATATTTGCTAATTTATAATAATTTCAAGCGGATTTCAGTTCGGCATATACAAAATGTTAATTGAAAGATGCAGAATAACACCATCGACCTTGCCTATTATTGGTTGGTGTCCAAAAAGGATGTCATATCATATGTTGGCTGTTATAAAATAATCACTTGCCAAAGTGATTACTTCCCAGTGTCGTCTGCTCTGCTACACTTCACAAGTATTACTCGTTTACTCCTGAATTTTAGCGTCTATAAATTTCAACAGGAAAGAATAAAATACAAATTCTGCATAAATCAGTTCATTCTATGTTTTTTTTTTTTTTTTTTATCGTAGAATATCGAAAAATAATCTTTGATTATACCTTCTTGCTTATCTCTTTTCCTTGTTACTTAGGAATGTTAAATGTATAATTTTTTTTTAAAATATATATATATATATAATTAAATATATAATTTTGTTCTATTCACTTAATTCTCTTAACTTTATTATGGTTTTTTTCAATTGCTGTTTTTTCATTTTCAATGGATTTCTTTCTTACGATTTTTCAAATCTTATTAGTAATATATGAATTCAAAATCCAATTTTTGTTTCTTTTCAAATTTTCAGATCTCTTACATGCAAGACGAATTAGACCAGTTAAATCTCGATTTGGTGTCACCTATTCGATTTATTATTGTAATCTTTTCTACTGCGAATAACAATAATGAGAAAAGCATGGAAGAATGGCCTTCTAATGACATACCATTGGCATCCTTAGCTGTTGTAATCATATAAATATAACCACTCAACCATTTATCACATCCATCTATCATTTCAATAGCAATTACATCTTTCTTCTTCTCTCCCTTCTTACTATTTACAATTACATCAATGCTCTTGACCTGAAATTGGATTTTTTTTTTTGTATTAATTGTTAATTTTACTTAGTTTTACTTAATTTCTATAACTACAATGGAAGAAAATAAAATTAAACCAAATAAAGTTTCTTTTTTACTATCTTCAGCAAATATCTTAGAAAAGTTGGCTGTTGTTAGCAACTTTCATATTTCTCATAGAATATTCACAAGGGAAGAATTTTTCCTTGCACTTTTCCTTTTCGATCGTTTGTAAGTGGAAATGAAGATTGACTCAACTCAGTGCTTTGTCCAATGCATTGGTCATCTGTGAACAGTTTTTGTTATTTATCTCTTTGATGGATTCTTTGTGATGATCGACTGCGCATCGTTTCTGATGTCTAAGTTAAGAAAACTATTCAAATGTTTTGAAACATTTTTTTCCAATTCAGTAAGTAAGTCTATTCCTGCATTAAAAACAAATTCTTGGGGAATGAGCAAATTTCCTAACCCAATTTCTTGAACATAAAACAGTATTCAATGTCTCTCAGTATGGGAAAATGAACATTTGAAGTTTGCACTATGGATGAGGTAAGGGGAGGGGACAGGGAGGAATTTTATCGTTCACTCTTTCAGTCGGTTAAATTCTGAACGAATTCAATTCACAATGTCATTTCTCTTGCGACATACCCATCGTTTCTTGCTTTTAATTCTTTGTCATAATGAGTTCCTATCAACAAGATTTCTTACATTAGTAGCATTCTCGATTCTTGATTTGTCATTCTCGACCTGCTTTTTTCATCTTGAAACATGCGCATTTACCGTCTGTAGATTGGTTTTCTTTTCTTTTATGAACTAATAACTGGTCAGTTTTCTAATTTCTTTATCGTCTATTTATTTCATTAACATTTTCTACTTCTTAACTAATGCAGAATTTCTTTTTCTTCGTTGCATACGCCGGATGATTTATATGAAAGTGCTTCATTATTTCAAAAATCTTTTTAGTGTTTACTAAAACTACTTCTTTAGCCACAAATAATAATTACTTTGGGAAAAGACTTATTACATGCATTTTGGTATGTATGTAGGATTATTATTATTATTATTACTGCTAATAATTATTATTGTTAATTATCATTATTATTGATGATTATTGTCATAGCGTTCACTGTATTTATTTTTCGCATTCAATTACTGCTTTGATTAATATAGAATGGCTGAAACTGTTACAAAATAGACAGAAATTGTAAATAAACCATCTAACGCAATTAATTATTAATTGTACGAAGTCTTCAAAAAGTCAGTAGATGAGTGAATAGTTATTTGAAGAACATCGAAACAATAAAATAGTGAAAGTCATTCAGAATTACTGTCGTAAAGGGAAAAAGACTTACTGCATGCATGCATGCATGCATCTGTGTGTATATCAACTTTTAAATTGACTATTATTTCGTTGCGTTCTTCGTTTTCTTTTCTTTAGCGCTTTGGGAACAAAATTTTTGCCTTTATCAGTCAACTATTTCTATTTTATCTCCAACACTGCTCTGAAATATCGAAATGATATGGTCGATTGCTTTAGTACGAAAAGTTTTACTTACTTCTACTTGTGCAATGGAGCATGCAGTAGCATTCGAAGCATGGAATCTTGAATAAGAAATTACCATTCGTAAATAATAATAATAGAAATTCTCATATTCTTGCATTAGGCCAACTTATACTTCATTTTTTTTTTTTTGTTATTAATTGTCCTCTGCTTTTTTCTTCCTTTTTTATCCTTGTTTTTCACCTAAATAAGCAATTTTATGTTCATTACTTCCTTAATAATCTAGTATCATTACAACTTATCGTCTCCAGTTTTATTTGTTACAAAAGTTGTTTGAATAAACTGAAGTGGTTCTGCTTTTTTGAAAAGTTAAAAATAAATATTTATACATTTTTCTCAAAATTATGAACTTTTTTTCTTTTTAGGAAAATAGGAAGTGTGAACCGAATGAAAGATCAATAAAAAAGTTAAATTGTCCAGAATTTCTTCTTTATAACTAATTGTTTCAAATTGACACATTTTCTTATTATAATGAATCATGTGTAAAGATTCTGATATATTGCGATCAGAATAAAAGAGAGTCACAATGAAAGACAAAATGAAATTATGACATTCGAAATTTTGGACCATAATTAATTTCGAGCATTTAAACTTCGAGCATATTAATATAATTAAATAATACAATGCAAATATAATTTTCTATATGGAATTTTAATGAAATAATTCATTAAAGCAAAAAAAACTAAAATTAAGTGCCATTTTCATTTTCGTTCCCAACTGAGTGCACAAACATCATATGAATAACGAAGAATTTAATTGAGAGTTTCATTCATTAGCGTAAGCTGCCTTACTTACAGGATTAATCTGGCAGACAAGTTTATCTTCAATGTGTCTTCAATAAAAAGAAGGTAAGTCGTAGCTGAATTTGAGTGACAAACGTAAACAACAATTGTCACAGCAATTCTTATTTCACACTTTACTTTTTATTGAAATATTCAATCAAATTTGCTTACGTCATCAACAATATATAATTTCACTGTAAAAGAAATGATTTGTCAGTTGGTTTCCGATTCAAAAAATTTCTTCCTTCTCTTTCTTATGTTTATTAAATTAATTATTTAGCGGTTGATTAAATGAATCGAATAAATAATTGTTATGGATTTTGCTACTTTTTTTATTCTTTTCTATTATTCGCGTTTATTTTTTATGAATCTCACTTTCAATCGAAATATTTATTTAATTTTCTGCAGTATGCGCAAACGTAATTTGTAAAAAGAAGTGTTAAAAACTCGTTTTTATTGCAGACTCTTTAAAAAATTCGAAAGTGAATATGGTGCATGTCACGTTACTTCAAATATTTAAAGAAGCCGACATAAAGTACGTTCTGTTAAATTTTTTTGCCTTTGGCTTTTGATTATTTTTCCATTACGACTTTATTGACTAACTGATTAGTTATCAGTGTGTGACAAGTGATTGTATTACAATGGCCATGAAAAATGCTAGAAAGTTCATTATCTTTGTTACCATAAGAAGATTTAATAGTTTAATATTTAGAAGGACAGAAAAAAGGAATGAATTTTTTTAATTTTCTCCATTTATTAAATTGTCTCCATAACTAACGAAGAAATTTTCAACAAGATATGCTTCATTATAGCAGTTTTGTAAACAGTTTTGTTGATTTTCATTCATTTTGTCACAATTCTTTTGTCATAGACTGGAAAATTGCTTAAATAAACCCTTCTTTCAATTGTAATTGTGTTGGAGATATTTGAAAGATAAAGAAATCTTGAATGAATTTGAAATATCTTATTTCGATGCACATTTTTATTTATCTCATTCAATAGACTGAGATTTCTTGGTATTTACTTTGCAAGCATCCAACATTTGGGACAAGTACCTTCTCCACTCTTTATTATTCTCTTCATTACTATGATCACCTGAAATTTTTGCTTTAGTGCGAGTATCATGTTATGTTATTTAATTCTCCCAAAAAAGGTTATAATGCTAATTGCTTATAAAATCAGCTTTACCAACTCCTAATTTGTTTATCGATAATTCTTACTGCTTGGTTTCTGATATACAATATACAATAGTTCCGCTGATGTATTCTAACTTGGAAACTATCGACCACTCAGTGAGTTTTCTAGAAATGCTTTTCATCTTTCTTGAGAAAATAAGGACTTATAATTATTGAATGACAATACGAAAAAAAAAAATCACATCTGGGAATTTATCACTTTAAAATACTACTCGATAAGATACCATTATCAAGGTATTATCATTTGATCTGCTTTCAAGTTATATATATATATATATATATATCAAATTATTTTCTCTTTCTAATCAGTCTTTTTTTGATGCTATTTGGAAAGTCACTTTTAAGAACATTCTTTCAATTAACCAAATTAATCGTCGATGATAAAAATGGCTTTTTTTATCCTAAACTTGCTGGTTTTTTGTTGCTTTTTTGCCATTCTTAAAGTTTGTGGAAAAACCAACTTCTTATTTCAAGGGAATACTCACATCGATTGTCTTTGAGAGTGACAAGAATCTAAGATGGATGAGGAAAAGGAGGATCAAGACGAGGTTATAGATGTTACAGTTGTGCCTTTACATTTCAGTTGAAGCACATAACAACTCGGAAACAAATGAACACAAAACATTTATATTCATTTCTGTCTTTTTTAGTAAAGCGCAAATTATGTTTTCTTTAAATATTCGTTGCAATGATATAATGAATCATTTGACATTTGTATTTTCGATGTCCTTCAGTTAAGGCAAGCTAATTCTGAAGGTTTATAGTTTGAATGATGCATGTCCCTCACAAATGCACAAACCGAAAAATTATCTTAGTGACAGGAAAACAGTTCAGAGGTCAGGGCTGGGCATCACATTGTAGCTTAGTGCAAAAAATGGGAACTTATCAAAACTCGTAACTAAGATTTCTTACTTTTTCAGAAAACTCATCCAGGATTTGAACAATGAGGAAAAATATATGAGAAATCATTTATATCAGTGCGAAGTGATACTTGAAATCACAATTGATATCAATTAAACGTATGGGATGGATGTCTCAAGTTATAGGTGTTCTTACCTATCTCTTTATAATTAAGAAGGCTCTCTTCTTTCTCTTCATATTTTGTCTCCCTTTAAAAACCTCTTTATCTCCTTACAGTTAAAAAGAAGAAATTAAAATATACCATATTATTGAAACATCGGTTTGGACAGAAGTTTATCAACTTATTTTGAAAGATATCTTATTACTTAAATATTTGACCTAAATACCTCATTGTTTGAGTGCATAACATTGAACTGATGCATATTTTCTTTCTTAGCCATCTCGATGTAATTAAGAAGAAAGCTAAGAAAATATTAAGAACACCTATAACTTGAGACATCCATCCCATACGTTTAATTGATATCAATTGTGATTTCAAGTATCACTTCGCACTGATATAAATGATTTCTCATATTTTTTTCCTCATTGTTCAAATCCTGGATGAGTTTTCTGAAAAAGTAAGAAATCTTAGTTACGAGTTTTGATAAGTTCCCATTTTTTGCACTAAGCTACAATGTGATGCCCAGCCCTGACCTCTGAACTGTTTTCCTGTCACTAAGATAATTTTTCGGTTTGTGCATTTGTGAGGGACATGCATCATTCAAACTATAAACCTTCAGAATTAGCTTGCCTTAACTGAAGGACATCGAAAATACAAATGTCAAATGATTCATTATATCATTGCAACGAATATTTAAAGAAAACATAATTTGCGCTTTACTAAAAAAGACAGAAATGAATATAAATGTTTTGTGTTCATTTGTTTCCGAGTTGTTATGTGCTTCAACTAAAATGTAAAGGCACAACTGTAACATCTATAACCTCGTCTTGATCCTCCTTTTCCTCATCCATCTTAGATTCTTGTCACTCTCAAAGACAATCGATGTGAATATTCCCTTGAAATAAGAAGTTGGTTTTTCCACAAACTTTAAGAATGGCAAAAAAGCAACAAAAAACCAGCAAGTTTAGGATAAAAAAAGCCATTTTTATCATCGACGATTAATTTGGCTAATTGAAAGAATGTTTTTAAAAATTATAGTTATGGCATGTAAAAGGTGTAAGCTATTCAAAAATTTTTCCCTGCTGTTTTGGTATCACAAAAATGTAGTTGACTTTTTAAAATCTTATTGGTTTATGAATTCTACAGAAAATGTCAACTATTTTTCCTTTTTCAAATCATAAAGCATTAGTTAAAAAGTATGTAATGGATAGAATAATTTATGTCACGTTGAGGAATTAATTTTATATTTACATTTGGAAGAATAAATTTAAGATTCGCTTGAAATTTGAGGTTCTGTAAAATTTTTAGAGTAGCAAATTGAATCTTAGATATTTTTTTAGAAAAACACATTTTGTTGAATTTCCCAGATATTTTTAGAAAAACACTGTTAGTAAAGTGAATCGATATTGTATTTAATTGTCGCTACAAGACACTATTTATCAGTACTGCTTCTGAAATATTCAACAAAAAAGTGAATCACTTCATAAATGCATAGGACTTATTCTATCAGAGCTGAATAAATCAATTTTGATTTCATATATCCATTACCAAGAAAAATGTATCTAAACCTTTAGAGAAACTTCTTGCTAATATGTGCAATATTAATTTGATTAGAAGATGTGAGGAGAAAGGAGAAATGGAAGAGAATACGAATGATGACAGATGGATGACAAAAAGATTCAAGATATTTGAACTGGTAGCTGGAAGTGATGAATAATTGTCGAAACAATGAACAGCAATCTCTGAAGTGGTATGTATTATGCGAAATGAAATATTACGGTATAAATATTTGCACAGCTGATCATACCACTGAAGTTCATTGTTTTTTAAATAAGTAATCAATCAACTATAGAATTTCAATATTTGCTTTACATTACTATTAATTCTATTCTTTTTGTTTTGTATTTGTCTTTTTTTTCTTTTTTTTTGTAAAACGAGAAAGTATAATATGAGTACTGCTGTCACCTTCTTCCCATATAGAAGTCATCGTAACTCATTCGATGGATAGATCGTATGTGAGCCGCGTGTAATTTATAATTTCATTGAAATTCAGCAAATTTATAGCTAAGCGCGAAGATTATTTGATGGCTAGTTGATAAAATAAGTTTGTAATTTATCGTATGCAAATATTTACGCGTTTTATTGAAAAGTAAATTCTTCAATAAGTACTTAAGATCGATTTTTGTTGTAAAGGAAAATATAATTTGTGCACAAATTGAATCAATAATGGATATTATTCAAGAAGAATAGCAAATTTTTTCTTTTTTTTCAAAATTTTCATCACTATTTATTATTTTCTGTTCTGATTTTCTTCCAAAATTGTTGTCATCAAGCACTCTTTAAAAAGTGTAAACTGTCAGTGACCTATTTTTTGCTACTTAATCAATTCATTGTAATAAATTTCATATTTTTCTGCAGGATCTGAAAAATTTTATTTGCATTTCTAGTCAAAATCCTTCAAACTTTTATTGCTGTTAAATGTAATGCCAAAGTTTCTGTTTATTGAGAAATCATATGACATATAATAATTTTAGCAAATTTGAGGATAAAAAATATTTTTAATTACGTAGCAATTACGGAATAAGTGAAACAGATGGAATGCCATAATATTTTACATCTTTCGATCGATTATCATCAGTGCCCAACAAACAATTGTCAATTTCTCTTTCATTAGCAGATACATCAATTTACCTTTGTACCTTGCTTGTAACTTATTAAGTATTATTACAGTGATATGGCTGATATGGAATTACGTGCTTTTGAAGCACGTTTGGATACGATGATGGATCAGTTGAATGAAGAATCCACGGAATTAATCATCGAGAGACCGCGATATGCCCATGCGGTTATGGTATTTGCCAGTGGTGCTGAGCCGGGGGAATTACTCACCGTAATATTTTTTGTACATTTTTTTGCAATTTACAATTGATTTCTCTCTAGATTTAACTTGTAGAGTTTATTGCTGAATACTCCGTTACTCGAGAATATTCCACTGTTTTTAATTAATTAAAATATAGTACGATAATACTGAGTGGAAAAAAAACTGATGTGAATATTATTTGGTATTGTTGAGTCTTAAATGAAACCAACTTCGCTTTTCAAAATTCTAGAGAGAAGGTATTTTGTAATATAGCTTTCGTTTTACACTTCTATTTTGCTTGCAAGCTTTTTTCTGATATTTTTAAATAATCGAATTGATGAGAAGAGATGAAATGCTGATATCGGACGCATTCTGAAATAAAAACAACTGTTAAAGATGTACATCTTACCTACTTGTTTTTGCTCATATACACATTCTCAGTAGTTATTTCTCAATATACACAATTAATTCTTTATGCGTAAATGTCTCGAAGTAATAGGTCATCTTCAGATGGAAGCTATTTTTGCTGGAATAACACATGCAAACCGCTTAAAAAATAATCGCTTAATTTTGAAATAAAACAAACTAGAATGAATAATGAATAATAGAAACATGAATAGATAGCTGACCAAATTCATCTAGCAATGACTTCATTTTTACAGGCTTCTCGAATCAAAATGCTGGATCCGATATATGTTCCGGTCGAAGCAGCAACAAATGGCCATCAAAAATTTCATTATTATTCGGAGTTCATTTTTTTCTTTGTTATATTAGTTTGTTAAATCAAATTTTTGATAATTTTTTTTTATAACAATGAGTAAAAAACAGATTTAAGTTTTTTCAAATTAAAGTGAAACTCGATTTCCAATTTGAATATTTTAGAAATACTACTTCGCCAGCGAAATCGATGAGTGATTTTAATAACTGTGATGAGAGGGAAGATTTTGATTTGATTACTACTGTGGGGATTTATGACGACGATGACATACAGAAAGCATTGAGAAAATTGGAGGAATCTCGAAGTATGCTTGATGATGAATCGATTATCACACCTTCTACCGTAAGTCATTCACCTAATTAAACAAACATATGGGCTGAGAAAGTAATTGCACCATCATTAATTAGTTCACAAATTCATATTTCAATACTAAACTTTCATCATTTATTACTGACTATTGACAATTATGATATTTCTACAAATTTAAGTCTTTTTGTGACTAATACTGATGGACGGTTTTATCTTAATTCTCATCAACTTACAGAATATATTTCTGTTAAACGGTCATGAATTTGATTATATTAATGATAACAGCGCAGTACGTTCGAAAAAATGCCAAGTAATTAGAAACTCAATTTTTTTGAAATTATAAAATTCATGAAGTTTTGAGCAAACTTTTTCCTTTTTTCTTCTCTCTCTCTCTCTCTCTCTTCGGTATTCGAAATAATCACCACTTCATCGGTTCAGTAAATCTATGCTTTTTGTATGAAAAATTTTCAAAGCTCTGGGACGTAACTCTTTATTGATTCGTTTATGTTCTCAATGTGTAAATTGACGCTGAATATCTGACATGGAAATAAGGTTGTAAACACATAAAAGCTGGCTTAAGTCCTAGGCCAAAGCCTCGCTTGAAGTTCTAGTCAAACAATTGTAGTTAAAGCATGGAATTCTAATAAGTGATTTCATGATTTTTAGACGGTGAATCATTTCTGTGCATCTCCGCCATTTAGTCGATCTATTCCTGACAGATATACTGCATTAAAGGAAGGCGCTCTTTTGGTGAGTTTGTTAACTTTTTTTATAGGGTAAAAGCCAGCTGTAAAAGTAATGAAAGATTTTGAAAAATAAGGAAAAATTTGAGAAAAAAACGTAAAAAGATATTTCGGAGGAAATAATCTTCAGTTTCCAAGCCAACTACGACAAGAACGCCGAGCATCCACATCGTCGACGCGTACATTATTGTGAAAAAAAAAAAAAAAAAGTTATGTATATATCAATAAAAAATTTGTTCTATTATTTTGATATCTTTAATTGATTACGCATCATTTTAATGATATCATAACATGTTATCAATCTCCCATATATTCTTATGACCTCTAACCTTAACATTTTCGGATTGTCGACCATTTTGTCGCATTTTATGAATCATTTCTTTATTGTTTTTTCCGTTCCTTCAACTATTATGGATATATTGCGATGAAATATGTTTATGTTCAATTTAGAACTTCTTTAGGCGAAGTTGACTGAGTAAATATATAATCGATTACTATTTCTTATGATATTGTTGACCTGCAAGAAAAAATGATTTATGTGAATTTCGAGGACTCATTTATAAGCACATTTTGCCAATAACTTAGAACATGGAAAACTATAAACGCACTTCAGTTTGTGTCACTGTTGTCAAGTAAAATCGCATTGTTGATATTATAATATCCTAATTTGAATAATTTGTACAGTCAATAGCCTCGATAGAGAGAGAAAGAGAGAGAGAGAGAGAGAGAGAGAGAAAGCTTCGTGCATTCCTTTAATTTTTTTCTGAAACTTCTATAGTCCAAAGAACTGATTGAAAATAGGCCCATTCCTACTATCTTTCCCTGCTAAATGATACTGCATGTACATGTATAGTCTTGGCCAAACTTCATTATATTTCCTTCCTAATTTGTCATATGTCATTCCAGAAACATTGAAATATAACTTTCAACAACAAATTATTTAATATTATGCAGCACTATTCAGCATATTAGCAGCATTCGCCATTCTTTCAGAACATACAAAAGTTTCGAAAGGAAAGACAAAATTTGAAGTATCATTTATTGTTATTTATTGCGTGTTACTTGTTAAAAGTCGTATCAAGCTAAACATTCACAAATGAAATTAGGTCACTGTTTTCCACATTTGTTTCGATTAAAACCGATACTACTTTTTTTTTTTTTTTCAAAACCGAAATTTGAATTCTGGAAGACTGGATAGGATTTTTTCGCTAAAAGTTGGAAATTCCTTGAACATTGTTTTAAGTGTTATTTCAATTTCATTCTTTGGAATTATTAAATGATTTTTGATGGAACATTACCTCTTGAATCATTAATCAATTTTCTGTCAGATTCGGAAAAAGTAAAATATTTTTAATGATATTTAAACAGATAGAATTTGAATCGCAAATAGCACTTAAAATTTGAATAAGGGAAACATTTGTGGTGCAGAAATATTTCCAGTTTACTTGAATGTGTCGTACAACATAGAACTTTTTTTGATAGTGCTGATAGAAACTTCGAAATGCAATTATTCTCTAAACAGAAACTAACTTAATTAAATTTAAAAAGCTTATTCCCCAAAAGCAAAGAAAGTGCAGGAAGCATCAGATAAACACGAAATTCTGATATCGCTGAGAAACGTTTTTAAAATTAATTTAAATATTTCTGACCTCTATACCATTTTTATGGATTCTTCAGAGAGCTCACATTTGCAATTAAGCTATATAAAGAAACAATTCCTGTCTGCAGCATTCTGCAAATTCTTGAATTTTTTTGAGAAAATATTTCAAATTATTCATGAACTTCAGTTGAAATGCAGAAAAGTAATTTTTAATTAATCCGTAATTTTTTAGCTGCTTTTTAAAGTGCTATCGAATTAAAATACTTAAATAAGAAATTAAATTAATTTAATCATCAAAATCAAATAGCGTTAAGAAATTTGAGCAAAGAAACCTCAGGGATAAGCTATAGCTCCAAACAAATATATGGTCAGCAGTTTTAAAAATGCTAATGAAAAACTTTCAATTCTAATGCAATGCTCATGAATGCTTTGCTTCCTTTCACAAGATCGAATTTAAATAATTGAAAAGCTAATTTTAACTAATTCGAATCAGAAAAAGGCTCAACTCGAGCAAAATTCCTTTCTTGCTAAGAGCCACGTCGTCAAAGCTTATTAATAAATCTCTTCTTGTTCATTTTTAAATCATATTGCACATTTAGCCAAAACTGATAAAATATGACTTTGCTTCTGATATCGTCCAAACGGATAGACTTGATGTTTCAAAAAATCCTTTATGATTTAGCAGATGAAAATAAAGACTTGTGAAGAGAAATTAAATTAAATTGATTTAATCCTATTTCAGAAGTATTTTCGAGCTTACTTCTAATGAAAATTACCGCCGGAATTGGCCTGAATCTTTGTTAATCATATCATTATTAATAATGATTAGAAAAGACAGAGATACTTTATAAATTTATTATTGAATAGATGAAAATTTAATAGCTTTGATTAATCTTACTAAAGAAAAATTCTTTTAATATTTTAATCCTTAGTCGTTACTTCTAAATGGATAAATGATAATGTTGAATTTTGACTTGTTTTTAATATTGACGAAATACTTTAATGAAATTATTCCATATACCTGGAAATTTCACCTTAACAACAATTAATTTTCATTGTTTTCATAGTTTTATATACTGTACCTCAGTCCTTGCAGTGTTTTACGTAACTATAAAAGCTATGTGAGAACTGATTCGTTCCACATCTGAAATTACAAAGTGACTTCAACTTCTGGTCCTAAATGTCTTTAGCTTTGATTTTTGGCATCTCTAAATTTCATTAAATTAGTGAAACTAACGCGTATGACCATAAAATCTGAAACATTTATTAATAAGTTGAATGAAATTTGAGATTTCTATGACTTCACCAGAACGATTTGTTTGTTCTTATTAATAGCTGTGTAAATGATTTTTAATTCCCATTTAATGATTTATGTTTCAAATCAAATTAAATTTCACAAAAAAGTCGTAAAGAAAACAACATTCCTTTCGGCATGCAGTGCTTCTTTTCCTTCCTAAATATGCATTTGTGTGCATAGGGTAAATGCAAGATTTAGAAGAATCTGAAGCATTTTTTGTCTAATATTTCAAAACTTTGATGGGTATATGTCTTTTCCTTAAAAAAAAAAACCCCAATTTTTCTCAAAAATATCCAAATAGCTTTTTCCTTTTTCAGTGTCTAAAATAAGCCTTCCATTCTTCAACTCTTGGACAGCTTTCAAAGCAACAATAAAATCACATCGCTTTTCCATCCTTTCCTTTGTCTATTTGTCTATCCTTGAAGACTTCAAAGCTTTGATTTTTTCATCTGCGATTTGCGTATTTCCTTTGGAACTCCATAGAATCAGCAATTTTTTTTTGGTTAGTACAAAAAGGGTTTCGTTTGTCAGTTTGTATCTTTGTAAAATACCACTTTCAGATGTTGGTAAAGTCACACTAGTGAACTAAATTTCATCACTGTAAGAAAAAGCTAATAAAAGGAAGTAAAAATTTCAGACTGCTCACTCTCGCCGTCATATTTTCATCAGAAATTGACAAAAAATGTATAACAAAAAGGTGTAGTTTGAAGTCCAAAATAAACTTAAAGTCAATTCAGGTGATATATTAGACTTATTCTCGACTGGGAAATCAATCTGCTCAGTCTGAAGCGTAAGTTCCTTTGCTTTATGGATTAATTTTGGCTAAGGAATACAGGAATGGCGGGGAAGGAGAAAACGATCACTCTCATACTCATAGTTTAGTCACTGCAAAGGAAGTTAATTTCGCTCCATATTGATTCCAATTGGAAATAAATAAATATCTTAAAATAGGAGCCAAGGAACAGTGGAATGTTCTTGGCCAAAGCGAAGAATAATATATGTGCCAGGCATTTTCAATGTTCAAAAACAATCAACTAATGACTACTGCTACTGCTCTTTGCTTTGTTATTCCTTTGCTTATTTTTGCCCTAATGCGATCTACCTGAAATGAAATGAACTGGTAATATCAATCCAACATTACCTTATTCACTCCATCAGCTCGAATTGATTTCAATTATTGGGAATCGGTTCTTTTTTTTTTTTTTTTTTGGAAAGAAAGATGGACATTATTTCTCCGTGAAATTCCTTTTAAGAATTTGAAGAAATTCATTCGAATGAATTTGTAGTAGCATTCATTTACCGACAAGTTATGTAAACAACATGGACAGGTGATGGCTTTCCTGTCCAATCAATTCATAATGAGCACAACGGACTGTCAGTACGGTGAAACATTTAATAAATTGTTCTAAAAATTGATTCTATTAATGAAGTACAATTGACTCGTATGAAATTTAATTTTAAAAATGGTTCACAAAATTAGTTACGATAAAAATTGGAAATTAAGAACTATTTAATGTAAGGCTCATTGATGAGATAATACATAACTATATGTCCACTGTGTCCTGTAAAAGATTAAGCCACTACGAGTGAACTGAACTGAGCGATAGGTCATCCAGTGATCACCGTAAATTTCAAATCGTATGATCGAATTTGCTTAATTCTATTCCCTGGTGAAAAATCCAGGAAGAATTAATGAAACAAAAATATTTGAATGCAGAAGATTTGGTGGACAACAACTTTGCTAGCAAGTCAGTGAACTTGAAAATTTCTTTAGTTACAACTGAAATTCATATCAGAGTGTCTCCTTTAGCTTTCTATTTGGATGATCGAAGTGCATCGTATCATTTGCAAATCCATAACCAGCATTAGCGCTGCAATTTCAGGAAGCTAAATTCAAAGGCTTAGGAATTTCTCATTTCAAACTACTGCAAATTTCCGAAATTTTTTAACTTTATTGCCTGCATCGAATTTTGATTTCACAGTAATGTATGGATTTTTATATGTTTTTTAATATTAGAATTTTTGTTCTTAATACAATTAGTTTATTGGTGAATGAATACAATTTAGTTCAATTTGAAGCATTGTGATTTTTCTTATAAATTACTTTTCTGTTATTCTTTTTTACTTTCTTTTATTATGCTTCAGCTTATAAAAATGTGATTTGTTCATGAAAAAGTTCATAAAAATAAGGTTTGAATAAAGGAATATCAAACAGAAATCTTTAGTGCTAAATATGACTTTAAATTTAAGAAATCTTGGAAATTCCAACAGTTTCAAAAATTTGTGTTATGTTTTACATGTTTTGTTGTTCAAACAAATTTTTCAAATGAAATCGAAAGCTGTGCATATCTGATCAGTGTTTAATTAAAAATAATTATTTAGATGCTACTATTATTGTTGTTGCTGGTAGATGGTTGCTCTTGCAATGACACCCCATTCGTCATTAATCGGGTCACAAATCAGGTCGAATTCTCGGAGTTACTTCTAGGATATAATTATGATCATGCTGATAATCGTTCTGTAGAGGTATGCATGCTTGTATGCATGTTCGTCTGCATGCTTCCTTTCTATGCTATCTGTTTATTAATTTATTTATTTTTGTAATAATTAACTTCTATTTCATTATTATTCATTACTGTGCGTTTTCCACACTTAAATTACATATAAAATATCGACCTGTCAAGATTTGATAATGTCCAACTCTTATTTGTAAAATCTTTCATATTTGACTTTATAAACAATGACATCAAAAAGTTGGAACTAATTAGAAGTATCAGTTGCCCAAGCTAAATCATTAAGTGAGTCAATCATTGAATTTAGTGAAATTTCTAAAACCGAGCCTCAACTTGAGCTGTGTGCATTTCAGTAATTGTTAAAATCAGCAGCGTTTTCAAATAATATTAATTACCATTATTTTAGGTGACAGTAAGCTTTTCAATACGTCATATAATTGTTCAATTTGATACAGTTTCTTTATCATGCGAAATATTCCAAAAATGGCGAGATTCCCGTCTTAAATATTCTGGCATTAAATCTACTACCGCAAGCGCTTTTTCTTTTATTTCTAATAGAATTCAAATTATGAAGAATTTTGAACCATACATTCGTTTATTTCTTTACACAAATATAGCAGTCATAATGAAATTTTTTAGTTTTTTACCTTAAATAAATCTGTCATTGCGTTTTATGAAGTAATTTTCGTGTTTTAGATTCCGAAAGGTATTAAAATTTGGAGGCCTGACACGAATATCTTCGAATCAGTTGCGACGTATGGCGCACAATCACTTCGCTTATACTCTGATGGCACTATTTGTTGGAAGCAACGAGCTACTTTAACATTTCCTTGTATTTCGTACTTTAGACTCAAACAAGTAAGAAAGAATTCTTCGCATCTGCTTAAAAGTAACCAAGTATTTACTTGAAATAAATAGTCAACAAGTGAAGTACTGCTATCATTAAGGTGGTATGACTGATAGAAGAATCTTGAAAATAAGGTTATCGTTGTGGAAGAAAAGTAGCTATAACCAAAACAATAAATTTACTTACTAGAGTAAGTTTCTTTCTTTCTTCTGCTCACAAAAGCCTTCTCTTCATTGTTTTGAGAAACCAAATTATTGGACATTTCTAATCGCTATAGAGTACACCGAAATATCGAAGAGAGAGTCTGCGAATGGTAATTACTTGTGATTCATAGATGAAAAACTTTTCAGAGTGCTCTGTCAACTCTGAATTGCTCGTTGATTATTGGAAGTTTCGACAATTCAGGAGCAGAATCGATTATATACAGAATTGGCGACATAATGCTACCACCAAATTTGAATCCAATCTTCACGATCAATTACACGATTGCAACATTTCAAGAAATTGCACTAAATGGGGAATCAGTGATTCAAACTGCCATACATTTCCTTATTGAATCGGATCAAATTGATCGGTATTTTAATAGAACAGAACTTTAATCGATATAAGACTTTCTACATTTTAAGCTTATTTTTTAAAAACATTTCGAAATTCAAATTTTGTCAAATCTCAAAAACTCGAAAGTAATCAAATTCTTTGTTTTTAATTCTTTGTTTTTTTTTTTCGAAACTTCGGAAAGCTCGTAATGAGTTTTTATTTGTATCTATGGTTTGAATTCAGTGGATTCAAATTTCTTCTAACTACTTGGAATTATCCGTCTGTTTATGTTTAAGAGATAAAATAAATTGGTTATGCACAGAGAGATATTTTCTTTCACATTAAAACATAAATTCATGTTTTGGACTAATATTCCAGAAAATGTCCGTCTCAAAATCTTGGGATTTTCCTAAAACTGACATTTTAAGTCCAATTTTTTAAGTCTAAGTAAACAACAAATAAATAAGAAAGCAAATAAGAGAGGAAATAATAGACTATTCTGAAATTCTCTATAGAATATTAGTAAGATAATGAATACTACGGTTTATGTTACATTTGAATTTAAAGAATGTTAATATTGAAAAAATTAATGACTTCAGCAGTTTTTCTGGAATTGCCATAATGGTAATTTTAATTTGATTTACACAGTTCATTTCAAAACGATTATTTCAAGAGAATCAATAAAATAATGTATGACGAAAAAGTTTACAACATTTAAACAAATCATTCCTCCTTTTTTACACTGACGAAAAGAAATGTTAGATAATTGAAATATCTGAATTGCATCAATCATTCCTAACTTCTCTATCTGAAAAAAAAGTTTCAAGGGAAATTTTTTCTCCAGTGTTTGATATATCACACTATATCTGATAATCAGTCTTTTATCATTTAAATTAAACAGATCTAAACAGTTTGCCCATTCACTATCAAGCAGATATTACAGTTTTTTCATTAAATTTTTTGCTGAACAAATTAGGAAACTTTTCAACAACTTTGTGAAAATTTCATGCAATTCAATTAGCATTAATCAAGCCATGAAGTATTGGAAAGGAAAAATCTTTTTCAAATTATATTTTTAGACAAAAAAATGAAAATTTTGTGTGATTGCAACTTCAAATAACCAACATTTTGCTCTAATAATAGTTGAAGAAATTTAAAAGAGAAAAAAACAGCTAATATAATTCTTTCAAAATTAGTTATTATTTTGGGACCTAATTACACTAATCTCTACTTTTTAAAGTGTCAGTCTGTAATGCAATGCTTCACTCTTCTCATAACACGCTTATCATTCCCTATAAGTTGCTTCGGTCCTTTTTTATTTTATTAGATTTGTTGATGTTATCACTAAACTTCTAGAAAAGTTTGCAATGTTGAGAGTTGATCTAATCGGATGTCATCATCAAAGGGGGAAGACATATTGTGGTGGGAGAAAACAGAATTCATCTAAGCAATTAGTTGCCATCATTGTGAAATTGTGCAATTGGGAAAGAGGGATGTCATTTTTAATAATTCTCTAGATGTTAGATTATCAAGAGGGGATAGTTACTGATATATTAAACAAATATTGTAGTGGGAGAAAAAATAATTTGATAATTGGTGTTAGATGAAACGCAGTAACAAACTGGTCGGTCGTATTATAAGTGTATTTTAATAAAAATGAGTAGAAAAATTTTTTTTTTGATTTTTCATTAATTTCATTTTAATTACTTTAATTATACACAATCGGTCACAGGGCATGAATTCAGCCTTATTTTACAAACAAAAATTGCTTTACAGGATTCTGAAATGGATTTGAAGCAAGTCTTGTTACCAATAATCATCGAAAGCAGAAGAAGATTTGGGGATAATTCATTACTGCTTGTGCTTGATTCTGTTAAAATTGACAGTGGACGAATGGATCCAGAACCAAGTCGAAAAGTATTGCTGGAATCAGCTGCTGGAATGAATAAATTTGAACTTCTTAAGGTTTTATCTGGAAACAGTACAATTCAAGGGTATGCTGGGGAAATACGTTACTGGCAGACAAAATTATGCCAGAACTTAGATAAAATTTTAATTAATATGTTCAAAATTGATAATTTGAATAAAGTGCAGTCAAAGATTTTGCAAGATGTTTCGGTATGGAAAAGAAAAGATGACGAAGTAGTAAAGGGTGGAGAATTCACGACAGTACTTTGTTTTAGTTTTAGTAACGACAATGAAAACATTGTTCCGGATAGTGAGATCTTGACCTTTCTGAAGTACTCTTTGCAAGTGCATTTCGAAACCAGTTTACTAATATCAGTGAAAGAAGTCGAGCAAATTGCACTACCGGCAGCGATTTTTCGACAATTATGGGTTGCAATTGCAGAATCTAAATTTATCAAAATAAGTGTAAAACTATATGATTTTGATGGATTTGAATGTGGTTATGTTAAAGGGATCAGTTTTTCGGAAAATATTAAAAGATTTCCAGAAGAAGGAGCAAATAAAGCTTACGAAAAGACTCGCGAAAAGTTAGGAAGGTACGACAATAATCTTCATGAATCTCATGTCTATGACATGAAAAGAATTAAACAAGAAATTCAGAGTTCGACAAAAACTAATATCTCGGATCATTGCGCTTTTTATGATGATACAGTGATCTCAGAATCTATTGCAAGCGAGGCAAATAGATTATCAATAATTAATAAAATTCGTAAGGCAGTAGAGGCCATAGTTGAAGCGCCGTGCAACGACAATCGAACATCATTTATATCACTTGGCTTTGATTCGTTAAAATTAGCAAGGTTGGAGTTTGTTTTGGAGAGCGAATTTAGTGGAAAATTTTCGATACCTTACGGAAGCGCTCATCGATATCCTAATATTAGTGCTTTGGCTGATTATATTCTGAAAAGCTCTATCCAAGGAAGTAGTATTCCTGAAAGCAAGAAAACTACAAACTTTCAGCTTCTTACCGAAAAGTTGACGAAGATCGTTAGAAGCGGCGCTGAAATACCGCTAAGTGCAGCGCAAAAACGACTAATTTTTCTTCATCAGTTAGACATCGAACGTGAATTAAATTTTGTCGAAATTTTGAAATTTAGTATTAAAAGCTTAAAAATTCATCAATTCCAAAGAGCATTCAATAAGGTGGTGGCAAGACATACAGCATTACGAACGATTTATACATTAACAGGTCAAACAATTTTATCTCTTACCGAAGCTTATTTCTGGATTTCTGCAGAATGTGAATATGTGTGGAAATTGTTGAAACCAATTGACCTATTTGACTCGTTTATTCCAATGAGGATATTTGTCACTGAACAAGAAGATAATAAAGACAATAAAAAAATAAAGGAAAGCATTTCTAATGAAATTTGTCAGGAAAAAGATCAGCGGATGCTGGGAAAGAAACAAACTATGAACACAGATATCAAAAATTCAAATCTAATTGTCATCCAGATACATCACATTATGATTGATGGTTCTTCTATCAAACTATTAACAGATGAACTGCGTATATTTTACTATGAAGAAAAATCTCTCAGATCAATACCTTATCAATATGGACATTTTGTTCTTATGGAAGATCAACAGAGACAAAATCGAAAATTATATAAAGCTTTCTGGAAACATCTGCTATTTGACGTTACTCTTCAAAAGTTGCCCGTAGATGAAACTGGACTTCAAGCAGGGAAATATTCAGGTCGTTGCTTACAATTTAAAATAGATTCTAAAATCCAGAAAAGTTTGCAAAATTTAGCTATTTGGTGCTCCGTGACACAATTTTCTGTCCTTCTTACCAATTTTCAACTTCTGCAGTACAAAAGATATGGATTTAAGGACTGTTGCATCGGGATAATAACTGCTCAAAGAGAAACCTCTGAGCTATGCACAATTATTGGTTGTTTATTAAATGTGGTACCACTGATCAATACCATTAATCCCAATGATCGAATTCATGATTTCATTACAAAATCTTATAAACATTTGAACGAAAGCATCCAAAAACAACTGCAATTCGATGATTTGATAGCAGCCTTGCGTTTAGAACGCGATTTGCCAAATTCGCCCCTTTTCCAGGTTTTGTTTATTTCGGACGACAGCGGTGACATTTCTTACAATGATGATGCTAATGAATCAAACTTTGCACAATATGATCAGGTCTGGCATTTTCAGTATTATAATGAAAGTATGACATTGAAAATTGAATATAATAGTAGCCGTTTCTATAAAAATACGATAGAAACAATGGTGCAGCAGTATTTTAGACTTCTTCATAAAATGTCTCAAAATTTGCATATGCTTATTAAAAGCATAAAAATGGTAAGTTCTATGGAAGAATTTATGGATTATAAGTTAAGGATTGAAAATCGATGTGATTTTCCGCAAAAATGCACAGTTTTGAATATAATTGATGAGCAAAACAAAATGAACTTCTACGGTAATACAATTATTCAAAGAGGAGTGCCATTCTCGAATGTATTCTTGCAACAGAAAAGTAATCAATTATCAAGATTTCTTACGCAACGTTGGTTACAGTTTCTGGGAGAAGATATGAGAAATGATAGTTTTGTGCTACTTATTTTAGACCGATCTGTTTTTCTTCTGCTTTCAATTTTCTCTCTGTGGAAATGTGGTATAGGAGTAGCTCCTTTGAATCTTGAGACTTCTTTGGAGCAATTAAACGAAATCCTTGCAAAATTATCATATCCAGCTATCATTTATGAATGCAAAGAAAATAACGTCGCAAATCAATGTATTTCCAAAAATTTCTATGGAACAATGTTTCAGAATTCAGAGAAGCAAAATTCTGTTTTTGGACATGATATTAACGAAATAATTACTATGATTTCTGGATATTCTGACCAAGAATTAAGAAAAAAATTGACTCAGCATAATCTGGCCTACATGACTTTTACGTCAGGGAGTACCGGTACACCGAAAGGAATCTGCACCGAATTTTATGGACTCAATAACTTGGTACTAAACTACGCGGAGTTCTTGAGTATCAAATCAAGTAGCATCATTTACCAAGTAGTAAATCCATCGTTTGATATATTTTTTGCAGACATTTTGGAAGCTCAAACAAGTGGAGCAAGTCTATACCTTGCAAGCCAACGAATACCAGATTTAGAAGAAATGTCAAAGGTTACCCATGCTTATATAATGCCGGCATATTTGTCTGTTGTTGAACCAGAACAATTCAAAAAACTGGAAAATCTGGAAAAAATTAATTTCGGTGGTGATTATATTCAATATAAAGTCTTACAAGATGCTATCCGAATTGGTCTTCACTTCCACAATCAATATGGCATGACTGAGCACTCCATTTACTCTACCTGCAAGTTAATGAAAGTTTGTGATAAGACTTCATCTGTTGGTAAACCCCTTAAAAATATTTTCTTTTCCATATATGATGGTGATAAAAATTTATGTGGACAACACATTACTGGAATCTGCTGCAGTTCGGGAGCAGGCATTAGTCGTGGTTATCATGATAACGAGAATCTCAATCAAATATCATTTCTCAACAATAATGATTTGACACGACTTGAATTGCTATTAAATCATGATAAGCGTTATTTCTACTCTGGTGATCTGGCCCAAATAAAAAGCAATGTGGGACAATTGCTTTTTCATGGCCGCAGCGATTTCCAAGTGAAAATTCGGGGAATGCAAGTTGATATTCCTACAATTGAAGCCGTATTGGGACAGAATCACTTAGTCAAGGAATGTATTGTTTGTTTGCGAAGAATAGAAGGAGAAGAATTCCTTATAGCTTATATCATTTCTTGTAATGATATCATCACGGACGAAGAGAAAGGACAGCTGATGATAAAGAGTTTGAACGAGTATATGCTGGGAAAATTATCAGCTTTTATGATTCCTAGTCATTATGTTTTTGTCCAGCAATTTCCTTTAAATATCAATGGAAAAATTAATCGAAAACTACTACCCTTACCAGAAAAACTACTGAATTCAAAAATTCCTTTAAAAACTGACTGTATTTTTGAACCATGGGAAAAACAGGTGATGGGAATATTTGCTGCATTGCTGCCAGGAAAAGCTATTCAAATTGATGATTCGTTTTTTGAAGCAGGCGGCGATTCGTTGAAAGCTTTAATTGCAATCCAAAATATCAAACGTGAAACTGGGATGGATCTTCAGCTTCGGGATATTTTCAAATTAGCATCTTTCAGAGCTATTTTAGAGCGTTTAAAAGTGACACACTCAATAGGCAATCATAAAGAAGTTGAAAATTTAACAATGCTGGAATCAGCAAAATTCAGACCCAATGTACTGCAGATTAATGGTAGGTCTGGTAAATTAACAGATGACCAATTAGTAAATAACGTGAAGATATCCGACAACGTGGACAACAACAGGAGCTTAAACAAGAAGATGTCTTCGAAATACAACGGTGATAAGAAGAGCAGATTCTGGCTTAATGGAAGTATTCCAGTAAGTTTACAGCAGGAAAGGCTTTTGTTCCTTTATAGCTTTGGGAAAGAATATCGTGAAAGTTACAAACTACAATTTTTAATAATATTCTACGGCTTTGTGGATCTTAAAGTTTTGAATACTGCACTAAATTATATTATGCGAAAACATCGACTTCTGCGCACAATATTTCTTCAAAAGGTTGCAAAAGTAATTCAGGAAGTAACATCGTTGAGTGAATGTTACATTGAAGTTTGTAAAAATGTGCTTGGATATGACATCACAGGGTCGGAAATAAGTTCAGAATTGCCAAGTATATACGATACGCCTTTGTTAGCAGTAACTGTTTCCGACAACTTGGAGCTAATGCTAATTCTCGACCATTTAATTGTTGATGGCCGTTCAATTGCTATACTTACTAACGATCTGGTAGAATTTTACAACATACTTATCAATGGAGGCAGTGTATCTTTTGATTTCACTGAGGGTACTAGTTATGCTGAATTCTGTTTGCAACAACGAAGAGAATTGGAGAAATTTCGAGTTGCATTAAAAGGCGCCGATTGTCTCACGTTGATTGATAGGGCAGTGGCAAAAGATGAAGTAGAAGTGCAGGAGAAATGGCTTCTGAAACTGCGGGATTTCCCACCACTGTCACTTGAAGGTGATTTGTCTAATGAAGAATTTGACAGAAGAAATAATGTAATCAGGCTCAAAATACCTTTATATTTGTCTGCAATTAAGCATTTTTGTGTGGCGGAACGATGCACGCTATTTGCTTACTTGCTTGGCGTATTTTCCTTAACTGTACGTTCCCTATGTGATCAACAAAAACATCGCTTCGCTGTCGTCACTTCTGCACTAAATCGTACGTCCGACACGATAAACTGTGTCGGATTATTTGTCAATACGGTAATAATTCCAATTGACACTGCTTTTGATTGTGTCTCTGAATTAATTCACAGTCTTCAGCAAAATATCACCGAAGCTCTTCAATTCCAGCATATTCCTTTCGACTACATTATACGGAAGCTGAACGGAACACGAAGCAGCTCAGGTACGGAATCATATCAGGTCTCATTTGTTGTCCAAAATGCTTCTGCAACAAAACTACCAAGAATTGACGGAGTTGAGACAATTGTAGAAGAAATCAACGCAAAATATGCAAAATTCGATCAAGCATGGTACTGTACTGAATTTGAGGACTATATTGAGGTGTCGGTAGAATACAAAATTGAAAAGTATAGTGATTTGGAGATAAAATATGCTATGGAACTATTCGTTCAAATAGCTTCTCAATTGTTGTCCAATCGATCTATGAAAGTGAAAGGCATTTTAAAATCTTGTGAATTAATCAGAGTTGAAAAACCACTGATTGAGAATAATAATTCGAAAAATGTGAATGCAACTGAAGGCACAATCAAAAAAAGTTTGATGCTAGAAGAAGTTTTGCTTGGTATCTGGAAAGAAGTATTAGAGTGTTCAGAAATTTCTGTTTTTGACAATTTCTTTGCTATAGGTGGTCATTCCTTATTGATTCCAAATATTTGCTATAAAATAGAGCAACAAGTCAACTACCAATGTCCACCACAAGCAATTTTTAAGTACCAAACGGTTAGAGAACTTGCGCAACACATAAACAATAAGCAGGATTTGAAGATCTTGACGACATCAAATGAAAAGTTAAAAATCCGTGTATGCCCACTTCAGGAATCTCTAGCCAAAATGTATTACAATGCAGCTACAGAAACATCAATTTCCAGTTTGCCAACCACTACCACTACTGCTACTACCATTACAAGTGATCTTATCAAGGCCTACCAGACAGGTTTTTCAATTGCACTGAAATGTATAAACTTTTCGAAATTAAGGCATTCTCTCAATCTAATACTAATGCGTCATTTTGCACTTCGTGCAACATTCTATTGTCAGAACAACGATTTTTTTCAACAGATTCACTCTGGTACTGAAATTTACATTACACCACGAAAGACGAATATTGAGGGAGCATCACTGATAGTACCGAATCCTTTTCATGCGATACCGATTCTCTGCTGGTTAATTGATGGTATTAAGCAAGAGCTACCTGATGATAATTATTGTGAATTTCATTTTAAAATAAGTCACATCATTTGCGATGGAAAGTCATTGTCTATAATAGCCAGAGAATTAAGCAACAATTATTTCGAAGATAGACATATCTCAGTGAAAGACGATAGTTTCATTCAGTTCAGTAAGCGGTTAAAGCAGCGATTTCAGGAACGTTACACTGAAATGCAAAAATTCTGGTCGCAAAATCTAAACAATACGGAAGGCGCAAATATTCACTATGAAAAAATAACTGCTACTGTTTCAAGTAATAATAGATGTAAATTTTTTTATAAAAAGTTCAAAAGTTTGAACATCTTGATCAAAAGAGTAGCTAAGAAATGTTGTTGCTCTCCGTTTGTTGTACAGCTTGCAGCATTCAGCAAGGTACTCTCGGGAATAGCGACACAAGATTCCAAGATGATTATTTCGTGTCCGATAGATATGCGTGATTCTAGAGCTCAACAATGCGTTGGAATGTGCATCAATGTTTTGCCAGTAATAATCAATTTCAGACTTAGGAACTATCAGGATTTAATTCAGGATATTGCTAAGAGTTTTGCGAATGCTTACATAAATGCTGATATTTCTAATGATGAAATAGAAAAATTATGCGAAAAATATGGGGTTTCTAATTTTGCTGATATTATGATTGTTAACAACTATAAGCAATACTCCAGCCATTGTTATCAAATTTTAAATGACAATTCTGAATTTACGAAATGTACTTTAACATTGTTTCTCACACAATATCATGAAGATATTGAGGCAAAAATTGAGTGTAAACAAGATTTCTTTTATGACGAATCAATGAAGATAATGCTCAATCAGTGGGCGAAGACAATTCGTAGAATGGAAAAAGTCATTGTAACAAACGATGAAATAGAATCTAAAGAAAAGCGAAGATATCCGCACGAAATTTTTTTTTCTAAAGAGCATTTTAGCGTCAAAAACATGGATATAAGATCAAAAGAAAGATTGGCGTCAAGTGGATGTGACAATGATGAAAATGTTCTTCAGAAAAGCGATTATCCAGCATTCAGTTATCAGCATTTGCTTCGAGAAGCTTTCGTAGCCAATCGTCAATGGACAGCCATGACGGTTCTAACTGAAAGTAAGGAAAGTATCAATTACCGCACTCTAACCGGATTAATCTACCGAACTGCAAAAATTATACGAGAAAAGGTAGCCCAAATAACGGGCGGTATATTACGATCTGATACAGTGATACCAGTTATTGCTCATAATAGCATTAAAACATTGGCAACATGTTTGGCAATTACTATGACTGGAGCTGCCTATCTTCCCATAGATTCCACCGGTCCGGCTAAGCGAATCTCAAATATTCTGGAGCAAATCGGAGCAAAATTCTATGTTACTGTTGATCAGCTAATAAATAACGATGATGAATTTCAAATTTCATTTAATTTTTCATTTCAAAATGCATTGGAAATCAACTTAAATAATATGAGATTTGACAAAGAACCACTGGAGCTTCCTCCACACCTGCAAAACACGCCGAATGATCTAGCTTACACCATATTTACATCAGGAACTACCGGAAAGCCTAAAGGAGTAACAATTGGTCAACATGGTCTTCTCAACATGGCTATAGCATGTACTCGAGATTTCTGGATGAAACCTGGTGACTGCGTCTACCAATTTACAAACTTTGCATTCGACAATAGTGTTCTAGAAATTACAATGGCGTTAATTAATGGTAGTGCCTTGCTTCTCCGAGAAGATTACTTCACACCACATACATTCCTGAATGAAGTGAAACATGGTAACATTACCCATGCATTGTTGTTTCCTAGTTTGGTGAATACTTTCAAAGATGAAGAGATTGGGGAATTGAGACATTTGCGGTATTGGATTGTTGGGGCGGAAAGTGCGAGCAAAAGAATTTTGGAGTGTGCATTAAAATCAGGTGTCAATGTAATTCAGAACTACGGACCAACTGAAACGACAGCCTATGCTTTGACTAAAAGGATGAAACTACTAGACAGACCGAATAATATCGGTCGTGGAATAACAAATGTTGTTGTCACGGTAAGAAATTTCTGTGGTGAGATTGTGCAAGAAATGGGAGTAGGAGAATTATGCATAAAGGGAGTCGGGATCACTCGGGGTTATGTTATTTCAAGTGATAGAATACGAGAAAATGCTGAGAAAGAAATTGAAAGCAAAAAATTTGGTGAAGTAGATAGTTGTTGTTCAATATCGCCAGGAAATAATTTTGGTACCAAAGATATGGTCCGAATGCAACCAAATAATGAGATTCTTTTCCTAGGACGATACGACAAGCAAGTAAAGATTCGTGGATACCGTGTTGAACTCGGTGAAATTGAAGCCATTCTTTGTCAGTATCCGCAAGTTAAGTCTGCGAAGGTAATTCTGAAATTAATAGGTCAACAGCGACAGCTTGCAGCTTTTGTTATTTTATCGGATTTGTTCGAAAATCGGTTCCATCCCGCTGCCATACGACATTTCATGCAGCAGCATTTGCCGTATTACATGATACCAATTCAATACCATTTCCTACAGCAATATCCGCTTACCAAAAATTCAAAAGTTGATGTCGAAGCTTTGGCGATGTTACAGAATCCTGAGAATGACCAATGTTTGAGACATGCAGAACCAGAAAATAGTATGGAATCGACGTTGCTTGGATTCTTCCGGAAAGTCCTCCAGAATGATAACATTTCGGTAAATGATGACTTTTTCGCAGTGGGTGGAAATTCATTTTCGGCAACGAGGCTCACTGAATTGATCGAAGCTAATGTTGCGCATTGTATCGGTATAAGCAATGTTTTTCGTCATCGGACAGTGAGGAGATTGTCACAGCACATTCTCCATTTTCATAAAAAGCCAAGTAATGAGATTTATGGGATTCAGAAATTTTCTGGGATAAATAAGAGCGATTTCAATCTTGGTAACATTCCTTTAAGCTTTCAGCAGCAACAATTTCAATTTCTGAACGAAACAAAAGAACGGCAATATTATGAACTCATATTTGTACAAAAATTTGACGCATCATTGAGCCTTCAACATTTGAAATTGGCTTTTCTGCGTCTAATTTTACGACAACCTTCGTTTCGAACAATTTTTCCAGAGCGAAATTTTGATGTGCACCAAGAAATACTTTCAGGGACAGAAGTTTACTTCTACAGTAGTGCGGTACAGAATAGCTCTTTCCCGAAAGGACTAGTATCTTATGATGAAAATACTACTGCAAAAAAGATAAAAATACTTCAGGACGTGGAAGTAAACCTCAAAAGTGAACCACCGGTTTTGTGTGCAATTGAAGTAACCAGCAGTACATCTCATACTGTTATTCTCCGAATAAATCATATAATTAGTGATGCATGGTCAACGAATCTTCTGGAGAATGATTTAAGTGATCTGTATCAGAAAGTTCTGAAAAACAAGCAGTTCGATAGTAATTCAAAACTACCTCTTACATATGCTGAGTATTCCATCGAACAATTTGAACAGAAACATTTCTTAGAGGGACTAGCAGCTAACTATGCTGATATGATTCTGAAATGGATCATAAATGATCCAAATTACAATAACATTTTGGAGAAATGGGAGAGAACTGAAGGTCAGATGAATCACTCTGATTTAGTTAATCAGAATTTAGGTTCTCGAATTACCAGTAACTTTGTTCAGTATACGAAATCAACAGATTTCAGAAATTATTCCGAAACAGAATTTACTTTCGAAGTGAAGAAGATTGAAAAAATTTGTGGATATTTTGAAACTACTCCTCTTGTAGCTTTTCTTAGTGCATTTGCTTCATCTTTACATGAATTATCTGGCATAGGTCAATTAATTATAAATGTAGCAGCTGCCAACCGCTCGTCCAAGACAAACGATATTATAGGTAACTTCCTCAACTATTTATTCATAAACAGTGCAAACATCCCTTTAGAGAAGACTGATATCATCAGTGCCACTTCGAGAAATGTCACTACCACTTCGAGTAAGTCAACAATGGAGTTATCCGATCTTTCCACTATATATGCAAGTTATGTAAAGAAATATGTAGAAAATATTGATAGAGCAGTTAATGAAAGCCGTCAATTCGAGCAAGTACCGTTCATTCCACTTTTAAAATTACTTCGAATTAAACTGAAAAAACTGAAATCACCAAGTATTGAAGTGCTGAACCGTCTTCACAAAACTATATTTTTTAATTTTCGCTATGGATTGGAAGAAAATCGTGAGTCAGTATTAGGAAAAGGTGAAATTCAGGCACCAATGAATTGTACTTACGAAATTGAAGTGGAAATCGATCGTGCAAAAAGTTATTATTCTTGTAGAATCAGAATGAAAAATCGAAGTAGTCTCAAGCATACCTCGGCACTATGTCGACGAATGTTTTCTTTCTTACAACAGATGTCAATTAATTCTAATATTCAAGAAACAACAAAAGACGAAATAATACCTAAAGAAAACTTTTATCTACCATCTACGAATGATCATATTGTTGATTTAAAATTAAGAAAAATGTGGAGTGAATGTTTGAAGAAACGTTGGATTAAAGATGATGATGATTTCTTTCTGGAAGGCGGAACTTCGTTGCTTACTTTAAAATTAAGACGTCTTATTGAGTCAGAATTAAAAATCCATATTGAACTTGATGAAATATTCAAATATAGCACTTTCATACAGCTAAGCAATTTATTACAAAAGCGATTTATTAACATAGTTCATTCTCTTCCGGACAACACAATCGGACTTATGAATCCTGAATCTGGAAGAAACACTGATTCAGCAGTACAAATTGATAAAAAAATGTCTAATAAACGTGGTACTTCAAAGGAAACAGAAATTTTACAAACATCTGGGAATTTGACAACAGTTCGATTGCTTTATCAAAGCGAATCAGATATTAATGTTACTGGAAGTGCGGTAGTCGTTTTTTTCCATGCGCTCGTTGGTGGCGTGACATGGACATATGCACCGCTGATAAAGCAACTGATGAGAAGGCTACCAAGCTCCTTCAAAATAATCGGTGTTGAACACCCAAATAGTTTTTCTCGATCTTCAAAAGATCCCAAATTCCACCAATCCATTGAAAGTTTATGTTCCAAATATATACGAGATTTGCATGACTACTTATGCAAAGTAAAAATACGCTTATTCATCGGTGCATCATTTGGAGCAATTCTGGCTTACCAGTGTGCACTACAGTTACAGCAAGAAGGTAAACTCTTACTTTTTCAGTTTTATAAATTCTCCCATTTCTATCTACAAAAGACATGTTGACAAGAGATATAATTTTTTTGAATATCCGGGATAGGTACAACAAATCGGAGGAATCACTGTCCGCCGATCAAATTTATGTATGGATTTGTAAATAACTTTAAACATTTTAGACATCTCGAAGAAAACTTTGTTGTAAAAACCTTATTATATTTTTATTGTTCCTTTGTCCCTATAAATTTACTTTATCTAGGAATGAAATTTTCATATTTTTTTCCATCGTTTTTTCAGAAATTCATATAGACGATATAATATCAATTGATGGAACTGCGCAATGGCGCAAAAGCACATCCGAGACAGAACTGGCGTCTTATGAGGAGCATCACCGGCAGATCAACAAAATTGTGAAGTATCATTGTGGTGGCACGAAAGTCGATAGTGAACTACTGGAAGCAATGACCGAAAATGCTTGGGAGTTGCTGAAGATGATGCACATTTACATCCCAAAACGAAGTCTAGAAGTCCCTCAGCTTCACGTAACTCTTCTGAGATCGCTTACTCAAAAAACTTCAGAAGCTGAAGAGGATTACGGTTGGATTAACCTTTGTTCTAGAACTATCATAGATATACCATTTTCGCATGATACAATGCTTCATGACTGCAACACTGATACAATTGCTGATATTATCTTACAGATTATACAGAAGTTAGACGAAAGACAACTTTTTCATCGAAATATCACTAATGTCTCTGTCGATAAAACCTTACAAATTATCTAAAACCTAATTTCCTGGCTGAGTATTCTTAACCAGCTCGAAGTATTAACCATTAATGAAGTTTTATCTAAGTGTCGCGAAACTCGAAATAATCTCACGAACCTCCAAATAAAATTGTATTAATCCATAATACTAAAATTCGTTTTAATTGAATATTAGAAATGTAAAACTGTTTTAAATTGCATCATGTAAGCAATCATCATTTCAACACTCATCTTCTCATTGTAATTGAGCTTATCTGCTTGTCTAGACATTTTCATCTGATAATAAAAGTGTATGCATTGTTTAATATGTTAGAAATTACTTCTTTGTTCAAAATCAAATTTGCTTGCATGTCGAAATATTGTAAAGGTTTTCTAAGCTAATAGTCATTCTTTGAGAAGCTATAATATTAAAATCCATTCCATATATATTAATATTTATATACTGTGGTTGTTAGCAAATAAAATTACTACAGCACTCGTCTATACCTTTCATTTAACATACTACAATAACAAACAAGGAAGGCCCTCGAATATACAAAAGTCCAATTCGACTCTAAGCCACAAATTATATTCAAACTGAACCCCAACTTTCACAAAACTAAGTGCAATATAAGTAGGAATAAATATTGAGTAGAAAATATCTTTCCTTGTTTCTGAAGTAAATGAATATACAAATCACCGTAATTATGGATATTCTTCGTCGTTTGTCAACTAATTGTGACACTTAGCACTTCAATTCCTCGTGAATACTAACTTTGAAACTCACCGAATCCCGGAAAAAACTTGAAAGCAACCATTTATTTATAACTCTCCCCTAATTTTTCGGCAAGATAGAAATGGTGACCGCATTCAGAATCTTATGAAAGATTTGCTTTGCTTTGGAATAATATTTATCATGATATAAATATAGCAAATATATGGAATAAGTAAAAGTTTCGTACAAAGTACTTCAAAAACACAACATTTATTTGGCATTTTTCTTCTTTAGCATATCAAAACGCCTCGCTAAATCATCAAAATCAAGTTCATCATTATCACCACCTGACTGTTGTTCATCACTAGTTTTCGCTGATGGGAACGATGCTGAATCCAACATTCCGGGTAAATCGTTTGGTGGTTCTGGGAACTCTGGTGTAGCTGCAACCAGAAAATTTGGCATACTTTTTTTTTTTAAAAAAATCTCATTTCCATAAAAAGTGCAAAACAAATGAACTAACTATTATGATTCATTTTTGAAGGTAGCGGATGAGCATCTGTGGGAGGAGCCGACGGGAGACCTGGTGATGCATTCGGCTTGATTTTAATGTTCCCTGATGAATCATCGACCTACAAAACAATCCTATAGTACCTCCCGTAACTTATCATTTCTAACTGTAGTGCAAACAGTGAGCACGAGAAAATCAAAGGAAAAAATTTTGTAACAACTACAGGGTTGATTTAAATTTTAAACATGAATGAAATAGGAAACGAAAAAGATCAGAATATATACACGAATAATTCCAGCCATACTTATGATTATGTAATGAATAACATAGAAACATACCTGATTCAAGCAAGGATAATTACAAGCTTTATAATTATTTACGAGTGGTACTGGTGCAGAAGCTGGAATGCCTCCCTCACTGAAAGCATCTTTAAACCCCGCAGGGGGAGGTGGCGGCCCCGGATAGTATCCTGAAAAGCATTAAACATTCTCATGAATTATAAACATAACTCAGAAAAAATGACTTGGAACAAATCATGTAATGCTGATAGCAACAAAAAAACATGTGCTAACCAGATCCTCTATTTGTCGGTGAAGAAGGTGGCTTTTTACTATTTGAAACGATGTCATCGGGATACATCCAACCATAACCTTGCTGGAAATTACTCTAATTAAACAAATTGATCCAACTAAATTCCTGCAAATAAAGAAATGCACACCTCCCGAAACTAACAATGGCATCCACTAGAAATATATTAAAAAAACATACTCCGCCATGATTTTTAAAATCGATCAACATTTGTTCAGCAGCAGCAACTTCATCTTCGCGCATAATATTTGGGTCGGGAGTGAATGGTATTCCTGCACACTTTGCAATTTCAATCATGTATCTGGAATAGTTAAGTTCAAGCTCTTCATGGAAACTCAGCTTTCCCCTACGAGATGACTTTAAATCGAATTGCAGTCTTTTTTCCTCGTTTCCCTATCTTATAAAAACAGAAAAAAAAAAAAAAAACACACCGCTCCACTAAAAGTTTTGGAGGTGCTTGTACACTTAGCTTGGCTATCAGCTTTGGTGATACTTTGGCAGGAAATTCTAACTGGTTATTACGCGCTGCTTCAGCAAAGGTTTTGCCATATTTCATAGTTAGCTGATCATTAATCACCTAAAATCCGAAAACATTTTGAACCGAAAACAATAGCTTAATTTAGATCTAGACCACCAAACTTTTCCTGAGAATATGAGTTCAATAAGGTTAATAAATACCAGGTTTTAGTCCTGGGTGGAACCTAATGAAGACATAAAAGCATTGCTGAGGTAGTCAGAATCAGGATTATCTACTTTGCATTATATATCTTTTAGACGCTTTTTGCATGCTAGGATGAGATGTCAGACTAAGTCCAGTGAAAAATTCTAAGCAACTCTCATTAAAAACATGTTCCAAAAAGGCAATTCCATTACCTTGAATTCACTAACATCTGTTGCCACACGAGGAGCAGCCCAAATAATATTAATTACTGCTTCAGCAATCCCATCATCAAGATGCCTTAAAATTTTTTATTTTGTAATGGATCTGTGAGTGAATATAAAAGGGAGAAAAGTTAGGATACAAGACATACTTGATTTGTTGTATGAGACCAAATCGTGCTAGAATAAGATCACAGTACATTTCCAGCAATTCGTATGCTTCGACAAGAAAATCCTCTCTTATAATATGTTCTACTCTAATACGAGCACGGTCTTCCTTGCGGTCTAAAGTATATACTACTGAAGTAATGATTCATTACAACGCTGCTTACTTTATTTCAAAAACTAATACATAATTAATTATTCTATTTAAAAAGATCACAAGCAATGGTGCATGTCGCGTGTTACAATCTGAGGTATTAAACTCAAATTCACATCTCGATAAGACCGAGCATATCTTCCAGAGTTCGTGACAATGCCAATTTCTAAGCTCTTACAAAAGCAAACTCTTACAATAGTGTAACTAGTGCAACAAATGAATAAAAACATGTAAATCACATAAATCACACTTGTTATACTGAATATGATTTGGAAAATCCGTATAAAAATGAGGAAATAAATTTCATCCTTTGTAGTCTACCATCCAAAGCAACTGCCTATTTCCATCAAAGTTTTCACATTAAAAAAAAAAATTGAAATTCGAAACAAACTTGCAATGAAATCAGCAATTTCGGTGCGTGATTTCAGTGCCATCTCAGTTTTCTTCTTCTCCAATAATTTTAAACGATTAATTGCCAAACGAAGATTTGTTTTCAGCTTCGAGTACTGTGTCCCCCAGCTGATCGACATATGTTCTCCTGAATTTATTCATAACTTTGTCACAGAGAAAACTCAGCACAAAAAATGTAACCATGCAGTGACCGTATCATGCGAAATTTCTGCTTCTGTACAACGCATTTCTTTCCCTTGAAAATGGAATTTGAACAGGATTGAAATCAAAGAGATAAGACATTTCACCGATTACATGTTGAAAACGAATACTTCTAAGTATAATCTTTAAGTCACGTTTTTTTGGACTATATTACGATTATATATGCGCGTACATTTGTCTGGCTATGTACGTCTGCGAGTAATATTTGCTTAATACATAAAGTAAAAACAAAGTGGTGGAAATTTGTTTAACTCCATACTAAACAGTTGAACTAATAAAGCAACACGTTGACTCATACTTACAGATAAAACCGATCGCTGGTCACACTAAGGACATACATGACTCACGGATGACCAACGCTAAACACATAGTGACGGGGAAAAAAAAAAAAGGCTAGGAAAGTTGCAATGTTGGTTGATCGCTAAGGAGCGATGCACCAACTTACAAGTTAAGCTAGGCAGTGGACAGTCACCAAGACATTCAATACAAGCCGTTCTGTTACGTCTTTAACCAACACGTTCGCTGCACTTACCCGTGTTTTATACGGTGAAAAAATGCGGCTCGTAAGGAACGAAGATTTTCAGGACGGTGATGTCATTGTGGAGTACTATCATTATTGTGGCATAAGAGGTTGTGACCTGCTGCAAACCATCAAGATTTTGATTGTCTTCTGAGCAGTGTAACGGGTTCAAGTGTTGCGGGACGCTAGCATTGGCGTGGCATAGCAGTCTGAAATCGTGAAATGTTAGTCGTCATTGGCTTAAGAAATAAAGATTTTTGGTTTTCAGAAATGGAGGAACTCGAGCGTCTCTCGCTAGTGTCGAGAGTATGTGTTGAACTCGACAATCATTTTGGTCTGGCAGATAAGGATGTTGCAGAATTTATCATATATTTGGCCACCGAAAATCCATCTTTTGACAAATTCAAGAAGTCGATTATGAAAGAAGGATTGGCTGATCAGGTATGTATGTATAAGAAATAAGATCAAATATGTATGAATAATCTCTTGTTCTTTTTCTAGAAGTACACTTCTATTATTTTCAGTTTGATGATTCTCTATTAGCAAATCTCCTTCGCATTATACAACATATGCAGCTGAAAAAGAAAGATATAGCCAACGTTAAAACTCTTTCCGATGATAAGGAATTGCTTCGCGAAACACTTCCAGCTCTTGCGATGCCAAATGTCGATGCAGATAAACTGATGACTGAACTAGAGGGCTTGCAGACAAAATGGAAGGAAGAAAAAGTCCGTTCTTTTTTCCACTTTATTTCTGAAACTGGAGCTTGTTGATCATGTTATGTTAACATTGAGCTACTAATAAAGTCATGTAAGAAAGAATAATTTTTTGGAAAATATGTTTTTCCAAAAACTGACAAGATATATAATGTTGTCAGGATTAAGTTTGACTTTATG